TGTATGCGAGTCCATATATGCGCTTTCTTTCGATGCTCATCTTTCGCTGTTTATCAGTAGCCGAAACTTCTCGAAAGAAGAAGCAACTAAACGAGACGGAACTCGCCCTTCGACGAGAGGAAACGGCACGGAAGAGAAGGAATCTGTCTGAGAAGAAACTGGAAGATGAGAAGGTGATGTCTTCCTTCTCTCTTGTTCAATAAACACTCCATTAACACACAGGCGGGGATACACAGGTAGAGACGATAAACCGTCTTCTCAAAAAGCAGTCCAAGTCTAAGAACAAGCGCAATGCACTCTCCACCGCCGATGACCGCACACCCCTCTCAGCCACACCCGCTCTTGTCTCATCCACAGCCGATGGCTTACAAGACGGCGAAAACTCTGAACCAGTTCAAGTCGTTCCGACCATGTACAGATGGATCTCTACCGCGAAGCCATCCAATCTCGGTAAAGGGAAGAGTCCGCTGAACAAAGAAGAGAGCATGAGAATCACCTTTTCCATCCCCGCTTCTCTTCCGAAAAGCTATGTCATGCACTCAGCAAGTCAACAGTATTGGTGGGGTACCGGGCCTCCACCAGATCAGCAGAGGATATGTGACGTCGACGGTTGTAAGAGTGTGAGGAAGTATGGCTTAGTGAGAGATTCAAGTAAAAGCGCGTGTGGCATGGACCATCTGAAGGTGCTTGAGAGGCAGATAAACTCTGCATAGGTTCTAGGCTCTTCGCTTTAGAGTTATAGGGTATGTCCAGTTTATTATGATGGCAAAGCGTCGACATGTTGAACTGTCTTCATTTCGAAAATAGGTTTTTTTGCGACACAAGAATTTATGTTGCCCTGCAATCTATATTTGCACTGAAACTGAAAAAACATTGCAGTGTTTCAGTATACTCGTTTTCCAACCCGCTCGACCCTCGACGCCGTGTTGTGCATATACCATGGTGCGATGCCTTGGGGGTATATCCGTTGTCCGTGTGTAACGTCCAAGGCGGTGTAGGATAGATGTACATCAGTCGGTATGTTATGTTCTTATTGTTGGTTCATTCCTCCAGATCCCCTCGATTTTCTAAGTTCATGTGGTATGTTTATCTGGTGACTTGTACATTGTATGAAGTGAATCATCAGATCTTTAGATTTGCCGCAGCTGATCATGATGTGATGAACAAGGTTTACATTCCGTGCTAGCCTGGATTGGGCGTCGAAGTTGTGAGCTATCCGCAGATTTCTTTGTGCCCCATGTTCTACAGTACCCTTCTGTCGAGTCGTAGCAATGGTTTTCCTCGCCAAATGCCAGTGTTATTTTAGTCATAATCACTGAGGATATGACATAGCTCCCAAATAAGGAAGGTCTGAATGTTCGGAGCGGACGAATACGTACAAACAAAGAGTGGAACCACTGCCACTCACGTTACAGGTGACCGCGTGCAGGTGTCAATGAGCATTCCAGTATATCGACGGACTCCATGTCCATGCACGGGAGGTATAGTACCATGCAGGTACAAGTCTCAGGAACAGTTATCGAGGTGTGTTAACATTGTGTTTCGAAAGAAATGCGGACGTGACTTGACGCGAAAAACCTGTAGAGGCTGACCGATGGACCCACGCTCCACAGCGTCAATTATGGGCGTAATTTTGAGCGGCTGACCAAGGACGAGAGGCCTATATAATACAGGATAAACATGAAGGTGAGGCTGACATTTTCTAGCGCATATAAAGAGGCGTCAGCCCCGGCGTATTGGACTTTATTGAACTTAATCGGCCCTTCTTCTCTTTTGGTTGAGTCTTCTGGGAATACTTCTAACTTCTCTTCTTTAATCGGCTCCATATAATAAACATCGACTTGTTCGACTTTTATCTTCATCCCCATGAAGTTTTCCACCGTCTTCACCGCATGCGCCATCGCATCTGTCCAGCAACTGACACAAGCTCTTCCCTCTAAGCGCGCTGCAGCGACAAATTCTGTGCCATCAGGTATGTCCATTCCGGTCAACCTAACGTATAGCGTCTTCCTTACACTATTATGTCGTAGTGACCGAAGTCCTGAACTTCGCATTGACCTTGGAACACATTGAAAACACATTTTACACCGAGGGCTTGAAAAACTACACACAACAAGACTTTTTGGACGCCGATTTCCCGGAGTTTGCACGTGGAAGATGGGAAGAGATCTCACAACATGAGGCTACTCACACTTCTTTCCTCTCTGGCATCCTTGGCGACCAGGCTGTCAACGCCTGCACCTACAACTTGTACGTTTTTCTCCAATCTTTATATCGTAGTGTATTTTGAGAACCAGTTTTGTATAGTCCTGTAACAGATGCACAGTCGTTTGTATCGTTTAGTTTTTTGCTGGAGACCGTTGGAGTATCCGCGTACTCTGGCGCTGCCCAGCTTCTCGCTAGCAATACGGTAAGCACACTAGTACTTCTGACTATATTTGCATCTCACCATTTATAGGACTATCTCACCGCCGCAGGAGCGATTTTGGCTGTAGAGGCAAGACAGTCTGCATGGATTAACTCCGCCATATTGAATGCCAACCCTTGGAACACGGCTTTCGATGTACGTACTATGTCTTTTTATAAAGTAATATTCTCTTGACCTCCCATCTTTCCACAGACTCCCCTTGATCTGAACCAGGTATACACAATTGCGTCTGGGGTGATTGTATCATGTCCCTCGACCAACATGGCTCTTCCGGTCAAGGCGTTTCCCGCGCTTACATTCCCTGCCAGCGCTCAACCCAGTCAGACTGTTCAAGTCAGCTTCTCGGCGGACACCACCCCTTCCGACACCCTCTATGTTGCATTCATCTCAGGACTCGAGTCAATCATCGTACCACTCGACCAGGGAAGCAACGCGGTGACCATTCCGGCTGTACTACAAGGTGTCGTTTTTGCAATTGTGGTCAACGATAGCGAAAGTGTTGGTGATAGCGTCACCGTCGCCGGTCCTGCTTTCTTAAGCTTTGACTACAACTCAAAAGGTCAGGATGAATCGGAGGGATAGAAAAAAAGGGATGGAGTCTCGTGGATGTGTTCTTTTCACGTCTTCTTTCTTTGACGATAAGCTTTAGGAAGCTCGTCAGGACTGTATTTTGTTCGAATTCGTTGATCGCGCGCGTACTTTACTTTTCGTAATTTACACGACGAGAGATTTGGCACGGTGCCACCCGCTGACCTGTTTATTATTGGCTGATGGTGTAATGATATATTTTGTCTAGAAGGATTAGATGCAACAAGGGCGCACTATTACTGAGTGCTAGCTATATTTTAGCTCGATCCCGTTCATTTGTAGTTCCAGCTAGGTGAATATTCATGAGTTCAGCCGTGGTTTTACTTGGATTGCCATGATCATGAGGCGTGTGCTGTGAATGAATAAATACTGGGACGTCAATTTGGAGGTCTGGACGCGTCATTTTTTCTGGGCACACAAGCTCTATTAGGTCTGACAAACGAATTCACTTCGAAACAGTGACTATGACTGATCTGACAAGTCTCCACATGAAAACGGGAACAGTGCCTTTGATTAGGCGAGGCATACATTTGTGAATGCGGGAATGTCGAGCTATGTTATATCATAAATCCATGAGCCGTATATAAAACATATATATCAATGTGTAATACCATGCGAAGCATTTGTCAGTCGTGTAGAAATCAAGTCAGTAAAACTCCCGCTCATGAATGAAATCATAGAAGAGTCAGTGGTAGGTATTTCACAAATCCATGTGTGAATTTCGAGAACGAAAGTCAAAGGGGCACACTCTCTATCCTTCTTCTATCCCTGTATTTCAGCCTGACCCATCTGATTATAGTCAAAGCTCAGGAAAGAAGGACCAGCGACAGTCACATTGTCACTAGTGCTGTTGCTACTGTTGACCACGAGAGCGAACACGACACCCTGGAGCATACCAGGAATGGTGACCGTGTTATTCTTGAGCGGCACGATGGTAGGTGTGAGTCCGGACAGGAACGCGACGTAGAGGTCGTTTGACGAGGTTGTGTTCGCCGAGAAGCTTACTTGAACAGTCTGGTTGGGCTGGGCGGTAGAGGGGAATGTAAGCATGGGGAAAGCCTTGACGGGGAGCGCCATGTTGTTCGAAGGGCATGACGTGATTAATCCGGAAGCGATGGTATATGCTTGATTAAGATCAAGAGGAGTCTAGAGAGAGAAATGGTTGTTAAAAAAGTGATAAAGCACCGTGAAAGAGGAATACATACGTCGAAAGCCGAGTTCCAGGGGTTAGCCATTAGAACGGCAGAGTTGACCCAGGCGGAATGTCTTGCTTCTACAGCCAAAATAGAGGCAGCAGCACTTATATAGGTCTAGAGATAAGACTCGGTGAGGTATAAATCTAGACAGGCGCGGCATGCACTTACAGTGTCGCTGACGAGGAGCTTAGCAGCACCTGAATAAGCGGATACACCAACGTTCTCCAACATGTAACTAAACGCCGCAAACGACTTGGGATCGGTCACTGGGCTATAACAGAACGATCAGTCCTGAAGTGTAATACGATAGAAGGAGAAGAAGAAACAGACAAATTGTATGTGCAGGCGTTAACAGCTTGACTTCCAAGGACTCCAGAAAGAAAGGAAACGTGGGTAGCCTCCTGGTCACAGATCTCTTTGAACCTTCCCTGCGCAAAATCAGGGAGACCTGCGTTTACGAAGTCCTGCTGAGTATAATTTTGCACACCCTGAGCATAGAACGTGCTTTCGAGGTGTTCCAAGGTCAGCGCAAAGTTCAAGACTTCGATCACTATGATATTAAGCATGTAAGAACGTCGAAATCACGCGCTGAGTACATTGAACATACCTGATGGAGAGTAACCTCCAGTAGAGTTCGACGCGCGCTTTGCGGGAAGTGCTTGTGCCAACTGGTGAACAGAGGCGATGGAAATTGCGGCGAAGGCAGTGGAGAACTTCATGGTAGATAAAATGTAAGGAGGATAGCCAACTTAAGGTATCGAAATACACGCTTTTATATGTAAAAACCTGGTCTCGATTCAAGTACACCACGAAGGATCATCAGGCCATACGTCTCGGTCAGCTGTAGGATGTCGGCGTTCGCATGCGGTTAAACCAAAACATTACGTTTGTAATGACGCACCTAAGCTGTAACGAAACGTTCTTCCACGAATCCAGTATTTTACGAGCAGTTCAGTGCGGCCATCTCGGGGTGGCTCTGGTAGGGTAAAGGCATGGCCATTTCGGTTTTAGACTGGAGTCGTTCGAGTTTATTCTATGGAACTCGCCTCTAGGCGTCCAACGGGACTTGAACGGGACGAAGATCATAACCGAGTTCGATCGTCTCTCGTACGAAAACTCGGCGAGAAGATCGCAGTCTCTTCAGATATGAGTAGTAAGTAAAATAAAAATTGTGGATGAGTGGCACAGTAGTGGTAGTTAGTACCGATGACGAGGCTGATACTGAAGCACTCACCATGAGCAGGTATATCATGTGAAGTGACCAGCGTTTGTACTTTACGGTTCAGTACTTCGGACAACCATTACTATGATTTCATTGATCCTCGAGTTGGAGCCCCACACAAGAGTCTTTCGGCAATCTTATATTTTGATCTCGACATCTGTAGACAGTGTGACATCGCTCAGAATTTTTGCCAAACCATGGATCTTTGATCACATAGACTTTCATGTACTGGTATCATGGTCGATTATTTTTCACGGATAAGCCAGAGGTCAAGGGATGAGAGGGTGGAAGAGCAGAGGGTGATTTTTCTATCAAGTCATAGCTATACTTACCGAATTACTGTATATGGAGCCTTTACCATTTATGGTTCGTTGTTTGAGCGTATTTGGCTCAATGTGTCTACAGTCCGGCGGAAGCAATCATAGTACCATGTCCGTTACCTTCTACTACTTACTACATCTACGTACTACATCTTGTACCAGTGATACTAATCAAAGCCGTCTTCTCGTTAAATAGTCAAAGCTTGTGAGTAAGCTGCCGATTTATGCTGTAAGCTTAGAGGTTTGGAACTGCGAGCATGCTGCGGTAAGTGAATCACACCACATGTTCTGTTACTGATATTTATTTAGCTCCACCCAGGTTCTGCGATCTACTGCCTGAGAGGGAGAAGATCGAACTGAGCCCTGATCGAGACACGATCGCTGTTAAGCCGAGTAGACTCGAAGAAAGTCAAGGCCGAGGTGCCCGTACTCGATTAAAATCACTATTCAGGATGAACATAGATGCAGCAATATTATTGCTGTTGTAGGTATTTCTAGCTGTACTTGTGTCAGAAATTAGAAGTTACCTGTACCTTTCATCCCGGGATACCACACTTTTTCTACGTGACTTCAGGACTACACTTCTAGGTACGTTCTCGTGAGGCTTCGAGAGAAACAGACATCAATTCATGACGCTGACGCTGATGTCAACTCAGGCATATTGGTCGGCTTTCGGTCTCTCCTTGTTCTCCGCATCACATCGTCGAGCGAAGTTTTGCAGCTGACCAGCAAAAGGTGGCATGATGTTTTGTTTTGTTTTTGGGAGGACACCGAGAATTTATTCGAACATCTATTCGAATCCCTGATAGCTCGCATGCCTTCAATACAGATCTCGCTCATGTATTTAATGTTTTCAAACGTTTCGGCTCACCATGAAGTTCTCCACTATCTTCATCGCTATTGTCCTTGCTTCTGTCCAGCAATTGGCGCAAGCCCTACCTTCGAGGCGCGCCTCTACAGGAGCTTACTCACCCACAGGTATGTGCTACGTGACCAACGGGTTCAACCTATGATATTGTAGTACTTACATAGTTGATATACAGTACTTCGAATTTTGAACTTCGCACAGACTTTGGAAGAACTCTGGAGCACGTTCTATGCTTAGGGCGTGCAAAACCTTTACCCAATCGGATATTTGGAGGTCTATGACCAGGAGGCTACTCACGTTTCCTTCCTCACTGGCGTCATCGGTGACCACACTGTTAACGCCTGTACGTACAACTTATTTGTTTTCTCTTTCTTCTGCTATCGTTTTTCAACTTGGCGCTGAGTTTTTATTACTACAGCCCCGTGACAAATCCCAAGGACTTCGCAGCATTTACTTGTGTGCTAGAGAACGTTGGTATATCTGCCTACTGCGGTGCTGCTCAGCTTTTCGTCAGCGACACAGTAGGTTCATTCTTTCCTCCTCATTGTAATTATGTCTCACTATCTATAGGGCTATACGCTGCTGCGTCAATTTTGGCCGTCGAAGCAAGGCACTCTGCATGGGTCAACTCTGCCGAGCCAACCCGTGGAACCCTGCTTTTGATGTATGTTGCGGCTCTTGTTCTATAGTAGATATTCCTGTTTAAAGGTTCAAATTTCTTTCGTAGACTCCTCTTGATCCGAATCAAGCTTACACCATCGCGCCCGGTGGGATTACGTCGTGTCCTTCGAGCAATATGGCTCTTCCCGCCAAAGTTTTCCCCGCTCTTTCCTTCCCTGTCACTGCTCAACCTAACCAGACCGTCCAAGTTAGCTTCTCCGGGAACTCTACCTCTTCAGGTGAACTTTAGGTAGCGTTCATCTCGGGACTCTCATCAACGACCATGCCGATCAAGAATAACATGGTAACCGTTCTTGACATGCTCCAAGGTGTCGTGTTTGCCATCTTGGTCAGCGATTCCAAACAACAACAGCGACCCTGCTTTCTTCAGCTTTAATTACGACTCTTGGAGTCACGATAGAAGCTGTGTGCTTTTCATTTCCTTTTAAGGTTGTTTTACAAGTCTCATCATTAGCTCATCACGGACTACTTTCTTTCGACTCTGTTGGCCGTACCCGGGTACTTACTTTATATTTTGTTCCACCGGGGCCTGTTATTCCATTGGCTTGTGTTGCAATCACGTAATCTTATTTCGAAAGCTCTCGAGAAGCCAGCATACTAAACGTCGACTTGATATGTCTTTCGTTTCCTTCAGACTTTCTATTGAACTCGATGGTGAAGTAAAACAACATTCCAGTCCCTTCTCTGCTTCCGCTGTCGCGGCCGGGTTTTTGATTACAACCAAAATTGGCGACCTGAATCAGCTGTGCGGTTGATAGATGGAATCACTGTTCTGACATATCGGTTGCGGATACCGAGCCGTCCCCGCTTTACATCCGGGTTAAGGACTGCCATTTTGTGTCTATGATTTGGAAATTGACTTTTGGCAGGAAGGCACATGCACACGTACTAGGTGAGCGCCGTGAATATTCCCTTGTACGTTTATGCCTTTGCTTACTGGTAGGGTCGTTTTTTGGCCTGCAGGACATCTTGAAAACGCGTACCATTTAACGCGTAGGCCCGGGGTTCGCGCAAAGTTGGTATAGACCCGAAACCTTGACTTTACCCGAGCACATGCCTCATCAATACTTTGAAAGGTTGAAACCCGGTCGGACCAAAGACTAGGCGGATGTGATCTCAAAGTAGCCTGCCTTGCATTTTACTTGGCTCACAGCTTCAACTAGGTACAAGCGCTTCACAGTGATCCTACAGTCGTTAAGGCAGGCTAAACTGACGCTCTTCAAGAAGTATCCGAATCGTCCTTTACATTACTGGAAGTGCAATGGCTTTCCTCGCGCATGGGATCAATCTGGTGACTTGATAGACTTCGGTGAAACTTACTGCCACACCCAACAACTTGATTTAGGCACGAGATTAGGTAAAGGAGGAGTCTTTGTGGGTCAAAATCAACCAGGGCCAGTCGTCAATATTGCTTGGCAGTACTAAGATTCGCTTTTGCGACGGGAATGTTTGTACAGCTCTATGCATTGCTTTTTGGAATCAAGGAATGCAAGAGGTATAAAACCCCCTCATATTTTATTCAATCGTGGTTATTAAATTTCGCATTACTTTACTTTTAGTTCTCCTTTCGAATTCAACATACATTACTTTTGAACATGATTTTTTCTATTGCTCTCGCTTTCATGACTATTGCTTTAATCGATGACGCTGCTCGGGCTGTGCCCGTAAAGCGAAGTGTTGCTTCTAATTCTTCAAGTACTACTCTTAATGGTGAGACCTTGATCTTTTCGCACCTAATCATTCTGCTCACCGTTCTTTTGGTCTACAGTGACGCAGATCTTGAATTTTGCTCTGAGGTTGGAACAGCTCGAGAATGTATTTTACACCCAGGGACTCCAAAAATACTCTCAGCAAGACTTTTTGGACGCTGGATATCCTGCGTGGGCGCGTGGACGGTGGCTTGAGATTGCTGAGCATGAAGTGGACCACGTTAACACATTTGCCAATATCATTGGGGACGAGGCTGTGAAGCCTTGCACGTACAACTTGTTCGTTTGGTTCCCGCATTGGCTATAAGGCTGCAACTAATTCTGCTTCTTTTCAATAGTCCGGATACAGACGTGGACTCTTTTGTAGCCTTTAGTTATACGGTTGAGACCTTAGGGACGACTGCTTGGTCAAGCGTTCCTCGACTGTTAGGAAACAACGAGGTAAGTTGACATATCTACTGTATTGGTGAACTCTTTATTAATACCATGCGTCAGGATCTCGTTGCTGCAGCTTCCGTCACCTTAGCGGTCGAAGCAAGTCAATCTGCATGGATAAATTCTGCTATATATAAAGCTAACCCTTGGAGCATTGCGTTTAGTGTTTGTACCCTTTATCATCTTTTCTCCTTTGTTGAAAACTAACCCATAATTTGACAGACACCTCTTGATCTGAATCAAGTGTGGACGCTTGCCTCTCCGGTGATCGTCTCTTGTCCTTCGACGAACATGGACATACCGGTCACACGCTTCCCCTCGCTCACTTTCCCATCGACTGCACAACCGGGTCAGACGGTCCAGATGTCATTCACGGCGAACAATACGAGCTCCGAGACCCTCTATGTCGCATTTATACAAGGTCTTAACGCCACCATCTTGCCTTTTGATCCCAGTACGAAGCAGGTGACTATTCCGGCGCAGCTGCAGGGTGTTGCGTTTGCGGTCATTGTCAATGATAGCACCAGCGCGGGTGACGATGTTACTGTTGCTGGACCTGCACTTCTGAATTTCGACTTTGACTCGAATGGCCAGGACGAGTTGATGGGATAATCTGACGTTGCTTCCGTTTTTACGAAGAATCATGATTTATTTTCATCCACGTACGAATGTTAATACTCAGAATCTTATTTCATTTCGTATTCATGATAGTGTAGGCTAATTGTTGTCCATTTTGCACAGGACTGTCGGGCTCGAAGTCACTAATTGAAACATACTGTACTGTCAAACAGCGTAACATTGATCGGCATGAGATGCTTATTTTTATTTCTTACAATCCTTCAGACTACTGACAGACTCTTTCCCTTTCGTACATCATTTGGCTTCACCCCCAATACACTTCAGTATGAGTGTCATTCTTCTAGTATCTGAACCCCGACTGCGACTGCCCACCAACCGCATCAGATAAATTGTTTGCCAAGGACTCAGCCATAGCACCAGAATCAGACGTGACGTTGATCTAAATCGAGGCAATTAGTTGATCATCACACTTCACGAACATTGAATAGTTACCATATCAAAGCCTTCTTGGGCCCGCTTGTGAGACTGTAACCCAGATGTGCAGTAAATAGCACTAAGTTAGGGGGCGAGGGAATGAGGGAAAAGATATTTAATGATCACGTGGATGACATACCATTTCTTTCCCTTGGAGTGAGCTGCTTTGAGGATGCCTTGGATAACTTTTTCGACTTCTGGGTGAGGGTCGGGAGATGGGGGTGGGTATCCGAGACAGAGAGACAGATCATATGGCCCAATAAAGAGTACATCTGTTGCCGAAATAAGTAGGGCGGCAACTCATAACAGCAGTGCAAAGACCTACCAATTCCATCCACAGCAGCAATCTCGTGTACATTATCTACACCTTCCTTCGTTTCGATCTGTATCATGATGATGAGATTCTCGTTGGCGGATTTGAGATATTCCGCAGCTGTGATGCCCCAATGTCCGTGAGTAAAGGGACTGCCGAATCCACGTCTTCCACCGGGCGGGAAACGACTGTCAGAAACCACCTCTTTAGCTTTTTCACCTGTTGATACCTACCAAAATATCAAAAATGGTGAAAATTTGCATACGTCGACACTAGAATAACTGGTTATACCATTGGGACTAGCACCCCCCTGGCTCCAGCATCCAAGGCATATTTAATTTGCCACGAAGTACTCTGACTGAAACCTGTTGCTGGAATTCTGACGAGAGGACTAGGCGCATTGGCGCCTAAACCCGTAATCGCCTGGATGGACTCAGCCGCACCAGGCTGAAGCGATGTCAAGCCGTGCTCGCAATCAATGATCACCCACGAAAGATGTGGGCTTGCTTGGGCGACAGTCCGGGCATTGATTGCTCCTGGAAGAGTTATCCAGGCGCCAAAAGCAGGTTTAGTGGCCTTGAAAGCTTGCAGCAAAGCGTGGGTTGTCATAGTCGATGTTGACCAATTTCTCTGGGAAAACGTCCTTTTATGAAGGACAGGCGTTCTTCTGTGAGCTTCATAATAGTAACTCGAAAGTCATGAGATGGCCACTCTCGAACAAGCGGGCCGATTTCGAAGATTTGAACCCGGGAATAGGGTTAGGTTTTGTTATCTCAGGTTCTTCAATTGAGTGTTCGATGGTAAGATGATCACGATGCTCTATGGATGTGATATATCATCAGAACGTCGAGAACAAGTGCTCATCGTGATGCACTGCCAACTGGTGCTTCTACACAGAACACACTGGCAACCGCAATGATTCTGCGTTTGTGGGAGGACTTTGCACGTCAATCTCGTGCTACTAACGGATATTTTCTTTCCTAGTGGATATTGAAACTTCTTGCACCGGAACTCATTACAATCAAGCTCGCACAACCCACAGCCTTTACGATCACTTCAATCACTAACTCTATAAGCGTGTCAACTCAGGTCAAAAGTAATCTTGAATACCTCTCTAGCTAAATGGCACTAGGTGCAATCCCAGTCACCACAGCTCAGATTGTTGCACTCTTCGTAGAGTGTATACTCTATGGCATTTATCTCGTTACTCTGGCTCAGTGTCTTCAAGGGCTATTATGGTCTGAACCAGACCATGCGATCAAAAACGAGATAAATTGGCCTTTGCTTGCGCTTACAGTCCTACTTTGTATTCTTGCTACTGCTGACGTTGCCTTTGGCCTAAGGCACAACCTTGTGGCTTTTGTCTATTATACGGACCAGGTGGAGCATCTCAAGAGTTCGAAGATATTTCGTACTGGGTCAACATCATGAAGGTATAGTCTGTCTACACTGTGACGGAATAATGTTCATGAGCGGCATGTACAGACTGTAGATTATGCCATGCAAACTTTGATCGGTGGCGCGATAATGGTGAGTATGTCTCGTCCGTATAAACTGATTCAGAACTTACATTCCTTCTCCCTATTTTCGAAAGATATACCGCTGCTATATTGTATACAATAAAAACTGGAAGATCGTTGTTCCATCTTTTGTATTCTGGCTCGGCAGTTTATCCACTGGAATCGTAGTAATTGTAAGTACATATCTTCATGTTCCTTAATACTTACTTACCCCCAATACTCCTGCAGATTACTTTCTCAAAGTTGGACACCAGTGCTCTCCCGAAGATTAGCCAGACGAAGCCATCTGTGGATATTTTTCTCAGTACCACACTTGCCATAAATATTGTAACTACTGGTAAGTTGAACCGTTGAAATTGGCTCGTATTGTATTTATTGCTGATAGAACCTTTTTCAGTGCTGATAGCATATCGCACATGGTCAGTCGACAATGAAAGGACAGAAACAAGCGACCTTCCTACTCATCGAGTTTCAAGCCTGAGACAAGTCGTCATTATATTTGTCGAATCCGCCGCTTTATACACCATCTCTGCCTTCGTCTTTGTATCCACCTACGCAGCCAACAAAAACTCCCAGTATGTGATTTCGTGTGGGGTAAATTTTATATCATTATTGTCCCTAGCATCCTAATCACTGATCCATAACACTTGGGTTCGTGCAGATAGTACCAATCATCGGAATCTCATTCAATCTTATTATTGTTCGTGTCAGCGCATGTCAATCATTCGAAGGGACAATCCATGGTAGTAATTCTCTAACAAGCGTGCATCCTGGAAGGAGACGTCCTTTCACGAACTTGGCTTTCATGAACATGAAAAGCTTCGGTACTAACACTCAAACCCAAGACCGGATTTATTCCCCAAAAGGACCCCCTCTTGAGGTTAATGTGTTGCGGGAAGTTGATTATACCAGAGATCATGATATGGGGCATGTTAATGACCATCCAAATCATGTTAATTCAAAACGTGGTGGTGGGGATGTTACTTGATGTACGACACCGATGAAACAGTTGGAGAAGCGCCTGAAGTTTTAATTATTAGACAGACTCCATTTTCCGCTTATAATATTTATGGACTTGGAAAGCTTGGATGATTATAAGCAGTGCACAGTATTTGTCTTTGCTAGAGTTTTTAACCTTCAAACTTGAACTCACCGGTTATTTGTACGAACTGCGACCTATGTCGGACGTTGTTTTGGACTATCGCTGGACGTCCAGCAGCCACATTAATTTTGTGCAAAAGTGAAAACGATAAATATACAGAAGCTTTCGATGCTTGTGGGTGACTATAATGGGCTGAGGATATTTTGCGCTTGAACTCTCTTCCGTAATTGAAAAACATCCAGAATCACCACCGGGTCGATAACCTTGTCAGAATTGGTTGCCACTTGTCGTGCATCACTTCTTCGCTACGAAACTTCCCTCGGACATAACAGCTTTCAAATTGAAGGAAAGATAATGGGTCAATACGGAGGAGAATATGCAGGATTCGCCAGGAGAAAGCCTTGGCATGAGCTATCCAGGCCCCCGCAGTCGATGCAGGAACCACCAACTGTCATTGTTTTGACTTATAACGAGCTCAGAATGAAGCAACCGTCGAGGATAGCAAAATAATCGCTTGAATAGAATTCTAGCTGACTACGAGCTCGGCACAGTAGGTGTAGGCTCTACATGTCTGACACGAAGAAGTCGTTGCCCCTGTTTCCTCCACTTTCGTAGCCAAAGGAAGTCTTTACCGTTACTTCTCAGCGCCTTTTCAATTTTCGCCGAGGTCCACCATAGCCACATCTTTGGCTTCTCCGGATACTGGGCGCGAACCTGAGTTTTTTGAGGCAAAGCTATGGGGGGTGTCTGGGAAATGAGACTCCTAAACTGTGGAATCAGTGCCGTCGCTACGGTGCGAGAATGCTTGGTATTATGTTTGAGACAAGCAGAGGTGAGCATGGAGCACGCGACCGGATCGGAAGATACGGGAGGGTGATTATAGACGCCAAATAACGCAGCTGCAGTCATAGTGTCTTCCAAGGGATGGTTGACATGAAGGGAATGTAAGAGATGACGGGCAGCAAACAACGACGTGAGGCCAAATCCATATTTAGAGTGATCTCCGAATATTTTCAGGGCGAGAGGTGGGCATTTGAGTTCCTCGCAACGTCCTAACAGAAAATTGTTCAGAAAGCGCTACATATGAAAGCGGGACAATGACTGACGAACGAAGGCCTCAGCATGCAACGAATCGAACTCTTTTCCGGAATCCCTCCAGCAGGGGAATAGTTGGGATACCTGTTCGAGTTGCTCCGACGTCGTTGCCAGCTGGAATAAGCGCAGCCAAGCCGATTGTCTAACTTGACCCGCTTTGACAGCACGTTTCTTCCCCGTTCTTTCGGTCACGAATTGAACAAGCTCATTGAACTCCGTCAGCCTGTCCTTAGCGGCACGTTGCCTGGACGCGGTTGACTGAGAAGATGTCGTGCTTTTACTAGCATTGGGAGTGGGGGTCTCTTCAAATGCGGATGGAAAAAGCTCATCGTCTTCAAAAGCTGAGGGCTTCTGCTTTGCTACATAAGAACGTTATATTATGAATTTCGGCTAATACTGAGAACGAGATACTTGACATACCAACAGATGTGATGTGCAAACTACGTCTACAGAGAGAGCGTTGTGAATGCTCTAGCAAATAAAACCTGGCGGAACCCCGGGCTACCTTTGGAATAAAGGAAGCCATCATACTAAAAGCCTTGGTCTACGAAAGTAAAAAGGACCTGTAGAAATATTCGAGGCTACGGCCAAACAAACCAAAATACGGAGTACATTCAAGTTACATGTGAGTTAGGGTTATATAACGTCACGCTCTGCTTCCTTTTACAAGTGGGAGGTCCTTGTTTGAAGTCCTTGTTTGAACTTGCATGGTATACGACAAGAACACTCGGCATTCGAATCGTCTCAGAAAAACGAGCCTGGATATCATTCACTGATCCTGCTACAAAGTTTTGCGATCACAACTGGAATTTGCATATCATCAAAATCATCCTTGTAACGATATCGATATCAACCATGCCTTACAGTATTTGTTTCGTCAAGACTTGTATAAGGTTTACTGGTGATGCATGTTTTCATACTGATTAGAAAGTAAGTATCCATATCTAAGTGTTTTTTCTCATGCACAGTTACTGCGATCACGACTATGATGGCTGTATTTTTGCGTGTAGGAATACTTTTTCGCGCCAGTGTGGATCAGGTTAGTACGTATTCTATTCACTTAAACCACTATTGTTCTTCGCTACTCGCAGATCTGTATGCTTCATCTAGCTTTCCATATATCCAGGCTGTACATGATGTAAGATCATGACGGAGAACTGATGTCTATGAATATAGGCGAGGAATAAGGGGAATTGGAAATATCAAGACATCGTGACAACATGTTGATGGATAACAAAGAAAGATCTTTACAGCCCCAACAAACCAGTGTTTTCTATTACATATGCCACGGGAGGCTGGAACTGCATTAGATCCCGGGCTTATAGATGGAGCGGTATTTAAGTAAGTCTTTTATCCACTCTCAGTCCCCTCGATTCTCCCTAAAATGGCGTCAAATGATTCTCCATTTACTACTTTACTGGTGGTTTCACTCTTCACAGAGTGCATATTCTATGGCATTTACCTCGTCACTCTGGTTCAGTGTCTTTTTGCTCTCTTGTGGTCTGATTCAAAGCAGGCAATGGAGCCAAAAATCAGATGGCGTCTACTCGTGGTGGCAATTCTGCTGTTTATTATTGCTACTCTTGACATTGCCTGTAGCCTCCGGTTCAATATTGTAGCTATCGTCTACTACACTGGTCCTGGTGGACCCGCTGCACTCGAAGGCGACTGGCTTAATATAATGAAGGCATGTGCAAACCGCTTTGATTGCACAGGAAGCTACATTTATCAATTGACGATGGGCAGTCGGTAAACTATGTAATGCAAACATGGATAGGCGGCGCACTGCTGGTACGCAATGCTTGCACGGAAGTACGCACACATCTGGAGTTGAATATACCATTTGTTGTGACAGATTTATCGCTGCTATCTTGTATACGAGAAAAACTGGAGGATAATCATTCCTGCATCTGTATTGTGGTTAGCTAGCTGTGCGTGTGGCATCGCAGCCGGAGTGAGCATAAATGACGATTCCAATATTCCCTGTTGCTCATTCCAGTACATCTAGATTGGAATATTCAATAGCCCCACCCTTCTTTATGGGCGTCAAATCCAGCCATACGTCACTTCTGTACTTAGTCTAACCGTGGGCATGAATATCATCACTGCCTGTAAGGCTCTTTTTTCTTTCAAGTTCCTAGTTTTCCTTACCAGAGCAACGTTATTAGCTTTAATAGCGTACCGTATGTGGACTATCGACAAACAGGTAGCAAAAAGAATCCACATTAGCCCCACATCCCTCCGACTCTTACGCCATAGACAGATTCTTCAAATAGTCGTCGAATCTGCTGCTTTTTACACACTCACCGTCGTTGTCTTTATATGTATATATTCGTCTCAGAGCAATGCTTATGTCGTGGCAGGAGATAGTGTAAAGCTCTTTCGCTTATCCTGCACACTCGTGGCTCATTACTTTGTTATTACAGCTCGTTCAAATTGTTGGTATTTGCATCAACCTCATCATTATCCGAATCTGCTCAGAACGGTCATTCGATATTATTTTACGAGGCAGCAGCACGCGTCCAGGTATAAATTTGAAATTGCTACGGAGTACCGCGAATAAACCTGTGGACATCGAAAGTCACGCTGTTGTTAGGTTATAATCTGGGTATGTGCGTTGAGCTAACTGATTCTTTGCTACCTTTGTACAACGTTTTCCAACTATCCCTAGACATTCTTCTATGCACTTACAATCAATATACACATTTGAACGTCGCATTCTTCCGCCAGGCTTCGGGTGCCATATGTTGAGAGATAGAAGTGTGGCAGCGGGATATCACGCCAAGTTTCCCTGTCGTTCTCACCGATGCCCCAACTGCTTCCTTTGGCTGAAAAACGGAACGATAGTCGCAATTATAACGCGTTTCTCAGGTGATCGAGCGCAATCTCAGCTATTCCAATGATGAGACAGAATTCGCGAGAGCGGCATAATAGTATTATGCACGCATGGCAACAACTCGCATCAGTCGGAAAACACCGTCGCAAGTCCTTTCCCCAAAGTCCTGAAATCCATTTCCGTCAATGAAATATAAATCAAGAAGGGCCCGAATAAAACTTTAGCCTGGCAGCTTCAGGCAAAATGGAATGACGTACCGAACAGCGGTGGGCAAACTGAGAGTACAAGGTTTTTTTTTTCAGCCTTGCTGTGAACAGACGCCCAGCGCGACCAGCATAATGATACAAGAAAGTTCATCTCGGTACGTAGACCGAAAACCAATAGATATAGATAATACCATGACTAAGATATCTCGATTGAAATGTTATCGCCCGTGATGATCCTGGTCTCCTATCAAAATCAAGTGCCATCCCAATGTCCCGGCTTCATACAAACGTCAGTTGATGCATTACCTGCATGAACGCTGTCATCGTCCATAGCATAATCAACATCGTGAGAGACATTGATTTGAAGACTAGGTAAATTTGAGCTCGCATTCGATTTGTCCGCAACAATGCCTTCAGAGCTTCGGAATGTAGAGAGCGGGAAGCTGTTCTGCATTGTTCTCCGTTTGTTGATTTCTATGGTCGGAAGCGTGGGAGCAACGGCTGTCATGTTCTCAAACGATCTACCTGAAGTGATGCGAATGATGATAAGGTTAAAAGATATGCCAATGATTTGAACAACCTGAAAAACAAGTCAGCATTGGAAGAATAGATGAAGCATAGCAGAAAATTGATCTACATTATCTGAGGTTCCATAGTTGGCATTGTTGCTAGCCGCATAGGTGCATACGAAAACGAGAACGGAGACGGTATATAAAGCGGCAGACTCGACGAGAATGCGGACGACGTGCTTCAGACGTGAACCTCGACGGGAGCTGGTGCTGACCGTCATGCGTGCTGTCTGTCTATCAACAGACCATATACGATATACTATCAATGCTAAAATCCAGAGGAGCGAGGAATGAGAGACAATATGTGCAAAGCTAGAAAAATGACTCACATGTAGTTATGATATTCATACCTAGGGTTGTGCCGAGTACAGAATCTACGAATGGCTCGGCCTGGCTTACATTCAGGAGGGCGCTAGTGTCGAGCGTTGCGAAAGTGATCTGGAGGATGAGATGAGCTGTAATAACGAGTAAAAGGGGCGTACCCACAATTACTACAATGCCACATGACAAGCTGGAAAGCCATATTATAAACGAGGGAATAATAATTTTCCAGTTTCTTTCATATACAAGGTAGCAGCGATACATCTACCATGGAGCATATTTATTGAACTAGTATCGATGCGTGCAGCCCTACTTACCAGCATGGCATCACCAATTAACGTTTGGATTACATAATCCACGGTCTGCTCATCAGGTCTCGATCAGAATTGTGGTTGCGAAAAAAAATACGTAAATATACCTTCATGACATTTACCCAGTAAGAGATGTCTTCAAACTCTGCAGTAGCTCCACCCTGGCCAGTGTAGTAGACGAAGGCTACGAGATTATGGCGAAGACCAAAGGCGACATCAAGAGTAGCAAAAGTACAGAGTAAGATGGCGACTACGAGCATAGGCCAATTAATCTTATTCCTCGACTTGAAGGCATGGTTTGAGTCGGACCACAAGAGAGCGCGCAGACATTGTACGAGGGTGACGAGATAAATGCCATACAATATACATTCCATGAAGAGGCCCACGATCTGAGCTGTGGTGATTGGGAAATTGTCCGCCATGTTCAGTTGCGAGACAGGCAGATTCGTGATACTGAGCGAGACCTACAAGCACGGATTTATAGCTGTTGGCTTCGAATGACAGGTTAATCCGCCATGGGTACCGGTGCTGGTGCATTGATGAGCGCTGAGGCCTGAGGACGGAAGCCTTGATAAGGCCCCATCATGATGACACCTCAAATAGATATTCGAATAGTGCACTGATGAGGTATGTTCCCATCCCTTGTCTGCTCGTTGCGGGTGTCGTTATGCTATAATCTTCCCATGACTGATAGTAGTACTTGGTCGGGATTTAAAACTCTCCATGTTATGTCCATATATGGTTGTCATATCATCACCGCGGACAAGTGAATGATGCCAGTCATCCTTCTGGTTAGACATCAGCACATGCACAGAAGCAGCTATATTCTAACGCATTTCATGATCCAGCCACCCTACATGGCTATATATGCGCATACATGGATCCCTGCTCACTGTTCCATCCAACTCCCATGGCCATCATCATCACTCTGGCTGATGCGACCGTAGTCACCCTCACTGTCCTTTTCCTCGCATTTGTGTATCAAAATCGCAGGAAATTTACATCAACAAAATACCCTCCAGGGCCTCCTGGTTTGCCATTAGTGGGATGCGCGTTTGAGAATCCAAGTTCAGAGAAGCAGCCTTACAAGGGCTGGAGAGAGTTGTACGGTATGTCCATCTTGCCGTTCCCAGCTTTCTCCATTCCTTGACGCTTTCCCTCCAAGGTCCGATTTCTCATTTTCGTTTGCTCACCCAGGACGTCTTCGTTCTCAATACCCATAGATTGGCTTACGAACTCCTCGATAAACGTGCCAACACCTATGCCGACCGTCCTCGACAAGTGATGTGTGCCGAATTGTACGTCTTGAATCCCACGTGTTCTCCTGCGCGCTCCTTACATACTGACCAATTAAATCAAGGATATCTTGGAATAGAGCGATTGCCCTTGCGCCCGCAGGCACAAGGCATAGAAAGTACCGTAAACTCGTAAATAGCGTACTCTCTCCCAATGCCACAAAGCGTCTTTGGCCTGTCCAAGAAAAATCCGCTTCTGCCTTTGTCACCACGCTCTTCCACCAATGCGTGGACAAACCTTCTGATGCGGGACAGTCGCATTCAGGTTACGAGTTTCTTGAAGTCATTCGACAGGTCATAGGCATGCATGTCGTCGACATCATTTATGGCCCTGAATCCATTGTCGAAGATGAAAGTAGAGGCAGTGGACGTCAGGCTGTCGGCTTGTCGAAACAAAACATGGAGAAGTACATACACGATGCAGACGAGGCGCATGCCCTTTTCGCTAAAGCACTTGTTCCATTTGCTTACATCGTAGACTGGATACCATGGTGTGAGTCTTCAAGTCCCTCCATTTCAAGCCTGTAGCATTAACGCAACTTAATACTAATCAAGTACAATTCCTTCCCGAGTCTACGCCTTTTGTGTCATTCAAAAAAGAGGCTAGGCAAGCTCGGGAAAATTTAGTCAAGTTGACTATGTTTCCTTATACCAAAGTCCGGGAAAGGATCGTAAGGAGTCATCCCTATAGCTTTTCCGCATATACTGATAAATCTTCTTCTCTGGAGGCTATGGGTCTTCCACAGATTTCCTATGTGGATCACTGTTTCACAACTACTCCTGACCCCACCCCTGAAGACGAGGAATCTATCGCATGGACTGCTATGAGTGCCTACACTGGCGGATCTGATACTGTATGCGTCTCTTTTGCAGGTTGGGCATTAAACCACATTACTAACGAAGTGCAAAAATAAATAAATTAACAGACCATCGCAGCCATCAAGACTGCTTTTTTCGCAGCATCTCTTCATCCAGAAGCTCAGGCGCTCGCTCAATCAGAATTAGACCAAATCGTGGGACAAGAGCGTATGCCAGAGATAAACGACCGTCCTAACTTGCCTTACGTGACGGCCTTTGTCAACGAATGCATGAGGTTGATACCTGTTGCTCCCGTTGGTAAGAACTCATCCACTCCAACCATCATTCATTGTTCCTTTCAGACTTACCGTGAGATTCACAGCTATTCCTCATAGGGCAATGGAAGACGAGACGATTGATGAGTACTTTATTCCAAAGGGTGCAACTATCATTCCAAACATCAGGTAAGGAGATTAATATATCTAGGAGTGAGCTTGTGACTTGTTTTGACCTTCTGGCACATTGTCATTAGAGAAATGCTTCGCGATCCCGATATATACGAATCACCCCTATCCTTCGATCCCGTTCGTTTCCTTCCCACAACAGGCACACCAACGCATCCAGACATTAAAGGCCGGACTGAGCTCAACATTGGCTCTCTCCCATACGGATTTGGCAGGAGAATATGTCCCGGGATGCATTTGGCAGATTCCGGTGTATGGCTCTATGTGTCTACACTCCTTTGGGCGTATCACGTTTCGATGGTAGACGATGATGGTAGTATCGTCAAGGATAGAGCAGCAAAGTGGGAATCTGCACAATTTTCTAGTGGGGCCATCCAGTGCGTACCTTTCTTTGACTATTTACTAGATATACAGCTGCTGAATATGGAGATGTCTCAGGTATCCTCTTCCTTTCAAGGTGAAGCTTGTACCGAGATCAAGTGCTGTAGAATCTCTGCTCAGAAATGCGTGAGATGGTCTGTGAGCACACGAGACACGCTCACACACGATGTGACAAATCTGTTTTATCAAACAACTGTTTTCTCTGCACATTCATGTTAGAACCTTTCCCTCTCAAATGGACAATGTGATAGACACTACTATGAACGAATAATGACCATTTTTTCATCTTTTGATACATCAAGATAAGGTTAAAGTCGACCATCAAGGACGCAATTCGTCAAGATTACTATTACCATCGCTGGTTCAAATATGATCAATCGTGTAAAAATGGTACACCGTTCCGGTGGAGAAGACGACGCCATGATGATGATGGTGGTAGTGACTGAACGTGAGCCTGAGATACTGCCCGACTGCACTTCCACTATAAACTTAAATGGAGCAATGACCAATCACAGAGAGTCCATACAGCTCCCGGGCCCTCTCTAAGTCGACGAATTAGCTGTGGCCGTGCTTCCTTCTATGATGCAGCACCAGTGGAGAGACTCTACTGAATTTCAGGCGTGGCCGTCTCACCATCTGATCTGGGATACCTGATCGTACCTTTGATGTATAGATGATGCGGGTCAGAGATGTAGTGGAGGAACAATTTTGCCGTGTTGAGGCATTTTGCGGGTGCAGCCACTTCCGACAGTACTCCGACAGTTCAACTCCGCCTCACGTCTGGTGTCACTTGGACTCAGCGAATCCTGTCCATAACGTAGACATGTAGCACTGGTTCACGGATCCCCACGCAAACCCCAATGGGCATAAGTCGGTACACCATTTCCTCCACCAGCTCTGCACTCAAGATAAACCTGACTTCTGAGGCGCAGGTATCAGGTGATGCTCTTTTAATTGTCCACTGCAACTAGTCAGTCGTGCTCGCAGATATGTCTCATCCACTCTAGGTACAACGCGAGGCGGAACATCAGTTCTGCGTGTCAGTGTAGTGCGGATGTAGTGAGGCTGCTGTTGATAATAACAAAAGGACATTGAGTCAGCATAGAAAGATTGGGAACCGTCATACCTCATTAGTGCACTATCATCAACCGCCAAGGCCATCAGTTTTTCCATTACGGAAGAGCCTTGTCAAGGCCCATCAACGCTCATTAGCCGTGACACGGTGAACGAGACTATCAGTTCTGGGGCTTAGGTTAAAACTACAAATCAACGAGTCACTTCCCTGGGTTTCACTGAGTATCACGAATCTGCCTGTTTCGCAACATGGCGGACAATTTCCCAATCACCACAGCTCAGATCGTGGGCCTCTTCATGGAATGTATATTGTATGGCATTTATCTCGTCACCCTCGTGCAATGTCTGCGCGCCCTCTTGTGGTCCGACTCCAACCATGCTCTGAAGGAAAAGATCAACTATCCCATGCTCGTAGTGACCCTCTTACTCTGTACTTTTGCTACTCTTGATGTCGCCTTTGGTCTTCGTCATAATCTCGTAGCCTTCGTCTACTACACTGGCCAGGGTGGAGCTACTGCAGAGTTTGAAGACATCTCCTACTGGGTAAACGTCATGAAGGTACATCAAGATCTTGTCTTGCCTCTCGTGCGCTCACAATTCTAATCGAGGCCTGACGAGCAGACCGTGGATTATGTGATGCAAACATTGATCGGTGACGCCATGTTGGTAAGTAGGGCTGCACGCATTAATACTATCGCAATAAATGGATGATCTCCATGATAGACGTATCGCTGTTACCTCGTATATGGCAGAAATTGGAAAATCATCATTCCCTCGTCTATAATATGGCTTGCTAGCTTGGCATGTGGCATTGCATTAATTGTGAGTGCGCCGCGTTTATTCGTCGTCACGGCTGATTTTGTCCTCCAGGTCACTTTCGCAACGCTCAACACTAGCGCCCTCCTGAATGTAAGCCAGGCGGAGCCATTCTTAAATTCTGGACTCGGCACAACCCTAGGTATGAATATCATAACTACATGTAAGCCATTTTTCTAGTTCTGCACATCTTGCCTCTTATTCCTCGTTCCCTTGCATTCCAGCATTGATAGTATACCGTATATGGTCTGTTGATAGACAGACAGCAAGCATGACGGTCAACACCAACCCACGCCGAGGCTCACGACTGAAGCACGTCGTCCACATCCTCGTCGAATCTGCCGCTTTGTATACCGTCTCCGTTCTCATCTTCGTATGCACTTATGCGGCCAGCAGCAATGCCAACTATGGAACCTCAGATAATGTAGATCAGTCTCTTGCTCTGCTTAATCTATTCTTTCATTGCTGACTTGATTCTCAGGTTGTTCAAATCATTGGCATATCTTTTAACCTTATCATCATCCGCATCACTTCAGGTAGATCGTTTGAGAACATGACAGCCGCTCCCACACTTCCGACCATAGAAATCCACAAACGGAGTACAATGCAGGACAGCTTCCCGCTCTCTACATTCCGAAGTTCTCAAGGCATTGTTGCGGACAAATCGAATGCGAGCTCAAAATTACCTAGACTTCAAATCAATGTCTCTCATGATGTTGATTATGCTATGGACGATGACAGCGTTCGGGCAGGTACATCAGTTGACGTTGATATGAAGCCGGGGCAATGGGATGGCGCTTGATTTTGGTGGGAGACTATGATCATTACGAGCAATTGCATTTCAATCAAGATATCTTAGTTGTTGTATTATCTATTGGTTTTCGGTTTACGTACCGAGATGAACTTTGTTGTATCACTATGCTGGTCGTGCTGGGCGTCTGTCCACAGCAAAGCTGAAAAAAAGTTTTACTCTCTGTTTACTCAGTGCTGTTCCGTATGTCATTTCATGATAGTTGGGGGTGATATATGCAAGGGTAAGATTTTATAAGGGTACTTATTGGCGTTGGCGTTTCTTCATGGATGGAAATATTATGCCACTCTTAAGATCTTTCTGTCACGCTCGTGAATGCTGTGTCATCATCAAAAGTTGAGATCACGTTGGCTCACCAGGGCAACGCGTCAGTCCTAATTCAAGAAATATGACAGTCAATATAGCTTGCTAATGCAACGCGTTATAATTACGACTGCTTTTCGGTCAAAGGAGGCAGTAACCGTACTGTAGAACTTCTAAGCAGCACGTGCTGGAACTCGAAACACTATGAAGAAGTCTCCAGGCTGTCAGTGCATGTCAGTGTCTTCTAGATGAACTCGGTTGATGCCGGTCAAGGTGTCAAGTGCAGCTGTTGGCCATGAGGATGTCGATAACTGGTGACTACGCTGACGTTTTGCACTTTTTCTCTGCTAGATTCACGCCTCGCCGCCACGACGAAGTGGATCGTGATGAGAAAACGACTTTAGCACGTGCCATTTGGGGAGTATTGTTATTACTATGGCCTACCCACGAGGACTTCAATGTGACTGATCCGAAGATGCTTTCGCAGACATTCATATCGGCATTCTGGAATTCACCGGCAGTTGCGCGCTTTCTCCACCACGTCAGGTGGTCGAGAATAAGTTAGCTGTCCTTTGAACAGTCGCCTGGCCTATTGAAGATGATCACGATGTGGACAATGTAAACGATAACGAGCGACAAAAATTGAGGCCTGAGGGTCGACATCGCTGATGATGTTGTATTTAAATGGTGATATAACCTAGCCCAGGATTAGGGAATCATCGGGCTACTCCAGGAGCGTGTCCAAATGAACAGGTTGTATACTAAGGTCGAGGGTACTGTTGCGACCGGTTTGGAAGTCGTCAACGCATGCTCTTCATAACCGCGGATACCCAGGATATGTCTTGGATATTATCGTCCAGCGCTAGTCGAGCACACGGTCACTCTGCATTGTACACAGGTGACCATCGTCAGTTAAGCTTCTAGAATGCTGGGGTAAGCCTGGAATCTGACATGTTGAAAGCTGTTCGATGCAGTGTCTGTGTTTGAAGTGGTGAATGGATACGAAGCTGCATAAAAGTCCATCTTTTGATCGGGGATCTCTTGTACGCTTGTATGTGCTCTCTAATTGACAAAACAATGTTGCCGTTTTCGCTTGACTTGAATTCGACAGCATTGCATCAAGCACGTTGAAACGGGTGAATTCATCGCGGCGTTGGAATTGCCATTTCAAGCAGGCCTGTGATATGTCCCTTCTCACGGAGAAGGACTGGGAAAGGAGCAGGTTATGAAACATCCGTTGAGTCTACGACTTACGTTTGAAGAAGGTGTAGCAGTCGAGGGAGAAAGAAGTCCGAAAGGCTAACCTACGAATCCGATAGATGAGCGCAACACATCTTCTCCGCAAGAGGAGTGGCGGGAGCCCTTATCAAGGTATGTTCCTGTCCCTGGGTGTGCGGTTAACGGATAAGGAGATTAGACAGCATGAGTGAACTCAGCGAACGAGATAAGCAACCAACTCGAAGCCTTGATTGGGCGATAACAACTGAGTATGATGCTTAGTCAGCCAGACGCCTTATCTTGCCAAGTGGTGGCTTCCAATATGCAACCAGCTATGACAGCGATGGTCCCACAGACGCGGGCTTATATCAGGCCTCCATGGCGCTTTTTTCCTCTTCTTACTACGACATTCGCTTTGTCGAAAGGGTTTACTCCTTCTTTTTTCTAGTCCATCAAAGATTTCCCAATCTTCACCGTTGAATCTCCAAAATGGTGAACGTCACCTACGACGCTTGTGAGTGCAATATATTTTACATGTCTTTTATTAGAAAAGTCGAAGCGAATAATTCCTAACCTCTCCTTATTACAGCTGGAGACCTTCAGTGGTACGATGCAGCTACAGACACCAACATCGTTTACAACCTCGGTGATATTGCTTGGACTTTGGCTTCAACGGCCTTGGTATGGATCATGATTCCTGGTGTTGGTTTCTTCTATTCTGGTTTGCTGCGGAGGAAAAATGCTCTTTCCATGATTTACCTTAGCATGATGACTGTCGCAGTGGTCTCATTTCAAGTAAATATACCCTCTCCTATCTCTTCATCAGTGGCTGACACAATATTTGCAGTGGTTTTTCTGGGGATATTCTCTTGCATTCAGTGACACCGCAAGTCCTTACATTGGTGATCTCAGTGGGTTAAATCATGCAACTCTATATCTTACAGTGTTGACAGTGATAATCTAGGGTATTTCGGCCTGAAAAATGTTCTCAATCAACCATCCGCCGGCAGTCCTCGAGTACCAGCTATAGTGTTCTGCGTCTTCCAGCTTATGTTCGCGGCAATCACGTAGGTCCACTATATTTATGGTGTCCCATCCACAATCACTGATATCCTGCCAGTCCTATGCTTGCGATTGGTGCTGTAGCAGAACGCGGCCGTCTGGGACCTTTGTTAGTCTTTGTCTTTGTCTGGTCAACAATCGTATACGACCCAATCGCCTGCTGGACATGGAACCCTAATGGCTGGTCTTACAAGCTTGGGGGACTCGATTTTGCTGGTGGAACTCCAGTACACATCTCGTCCGGTACTGCTGCTCTTGCTATCTCGCTCTATCTTGGAAAACGTCGCGGATATGGGACTGAACGTCTTGCTTACAAGCCGCACAATACCACCTACGTCGTTTTGGGAACTGTTTTCCTGTGGTTCGGATGGTTCGGATTCAACGGAGGCTCGGCACTCTCAGCCAACCTTCGTGCGACTGAGGCTTGCATTGTCACCAACTTGGCTGCTAGCGTTGGCGGTTTGACCTGGATGTTCTGGGTAAGTTAACATCTCATGCTATTAGTAGAACAGGTGTTAAATCAGATCGGTTACCTCTAGGATTATCGTCTCGAGCGCAAGTGGTCAGCTGTAGGATTCTGTTCTGGTGCTATTTCAGGACTCGTGGCTATCACACCTGGGTCTGGTTTTGTTGGTGCTCGTAAGTATCAGTCCATGAGTTGTTCTACATATACTCAAATATGATGCTCTCAATAGCTGCATCTGTTCTTTTCGGTTTCATGGCCGGCACGGTCTGCAACTTTGCAACACAGCTCAAATTCATCTTCAAATACGACGATACTCTTGATGTCAGTCACTTTAACTTCAGCACAGTTTTTAATTCAACTTTCCATTCCGTAGATCTTCGCATCCCATGCGATTGGTGGAGTTGTCGGTAACATCTTGACTGGCTTATTCGCCCAAGCAAGTATCGCTGGTGCAGACGGGATAACGTCAATTCCTGGTGGCTGGCTCGACCACAACTACCGTCAGCTCGGTATCCAGCTTGCAGACTCCGTCTCTGGTCTCTCATATTCATTCGTCATGACCGTAAGTCTTCATATCATGAGGCTGGAGTAAGTGCTTACTGGATCTCCTCAAATACAGACCATCATTCTTTGGATCATGCACTATATTCCAGGACTTCGTATTCGCTGCGACGAGGATGCTGAGATTCTTGGTATCGACGATGCGGAGATGGGCGAATTTGCCTACGACTACGTTGGTATTGAGTCTGAGTTGTTGCCCAGGCACGAGTACGATCAAGGTGCTTCAGGAGGTGGACGAGAACCGCGCCATACAGGCACGAGCTCGCAGGAGAGTGATACTGAGAAAGATTCTCAAGTTATCCCATCGACAGCGACTTGATTGCTGTACATTCTAATCCAGGTGGATTAATGTTGTTAGCTGAAGGAACCCTACTATTCTATCAATTGTTTGTCATTCATTTGTAGCCTGATATATTTCTGCATAGCTTATTGTGCGCATAATTGCGCGTTGGATAGATCAATGTACATATGTTCGTTTTCGATGAGCGAATACACTCCGTACTCTATATATTTGACTTGCTGCCTTGTATGGCTGAGACTGCGATCAAGTTTGGAACTGGCCGGAGTCTAATCCGGCTTGAACTTGAACACCTTCCTAATATGGATATAGCGCGCCACAACTCCCCTTGAACTTGAGTCACCTGTCTTTTCCGGCCTCGATCACCGAGACTCGTGGCTTACAAGGTACAACATCGACACGCCCTCAAGGTACCGGGCATTTTACAGCCGTGCACCTGGCTCTACTTGGCTGTACGACGCAGACTCGGATAAATAGTATTGTCAATCGCCATCCAGAGCAACGAATCCCTTTGTCCCATCTCGTTCTCCCACGTCAAGGTATTATTTCGCACCTGTGGTACCCCCACCGTGTTTTTGAGCCGTTTTCACACTGCATTCATAGATCTCAGTGCTCTGCGTATAATCAGGGCATAACAGTATAACAATCAGATCGCACACGTGATGGCACCCCGGAAACGAATGCCGCGAGTACCAGTACACAGGCGATGCACCGGTGACCTCCTCGTTATGCGGAACATTCTTCGAAAGGTGTCTAATCGATGAGGAACATGACTTGTTTGGTCATCTTCCCCCACAAGGCGTTGTCTAGAAAAGCGTGCTCCCTTTCGTTGTGAACCTGATCTCTCTTGTGCAGACTGATCACGGGCGCCTCAAGCTGCCTTCTTTCATGTGGTCCTTATCCCCGTTTCCTGTGCATATACCCTGTTTGTCTTGATAGTTGCATGGTGGTTGGATCACTTGACTGAGTTCACAGTATGCAAGCCGCAGTATGCGTCGCTGCATCGTGATTCGCACCACCCGCTTCAGCGAATACGGGGGCTTGGATGACATATTCTGTCTGTCGTGACGCCTAAACAACCGAAAGATTTACCCTATAAAAGCTCGTAGCTCTGGCGTATAGAACATCAGCTGCTCGCTTTGCCTATCTGCTACTTGTTTACATCTTTGAAATGACGTGGCCACTTGCTTTGACCGTTCAACTACTTCTGGCTACCCTTGCTCTGGCTACCGTTAACGGACCAGTGATTAACGCAAACTTTCCTGACCCTTCAATACTCCAAGCTGCTGGTACTACGTAAGGCACATATCTATCATTAGAATTGATTAATATCTCATATATATTCTGCGATAGGTACGCGTTTTCAACCAATAGTGGATCGATCAACATCCAGGTTGCGACCTCTCCCGATGGTGGTAATACATGGACGTTGACGAACACCGATGCTTTGCCCGATGTTGGTTCGTGGGCTACAACAGGTAACACTTGGGCGCCCGACGTGATAGACCGAGGGGACGGTACTTATGTCATGTGTATGTCCCTCTTCATATCTTTTCTTGATTATCCGCTCAGTCAAGGTCACAGACTACGCTGCTGAAAGCCCAAGCCAGGGTACCCACTGCGTTGGTGCTGCCACATCCACCAACCCCGAAGGTCCCTACACGCCTCAAAGCCAACCTATTGCCTGTCAGACTGCTGGTGGAGGCGCTATTGATCCTGCTGGTTTCCAGGATACCGATGGTACTTTATACGTAGTCTACAAGGTTGATGGCAACAATTTGGGTGGGGGAGGAACTTGTGGGAACGGTAACGAAGCGTACTCTACGCCTATCATGCTTCAGCAACTCCTGTCCGACGGTGTCACTCCCACGGGAAACCCAGTCCAAATACTCGACCGCGGTGTAGCCGATGGTCCTCTTATTGAGGCCCCTGCCTTGATCCTTCACCAGGGAACGTGAGTAATGCAATTACACTCGAGGGGAATGCAAGGTTGCTTACCATCTCTATTTCAGATACGTGCTTTTTTTCAGCAGCAACTGCTATAACACAAACCTGTACGACATCAGCTATGCCACAGCCTCCTCAGTTTCTGGACCCTACACGAAAGCCTCTAGTCCATTGCTCGTGACAGGCGACGATGGTCTTACTTCTCCGGGAGGTGCAACCCCTCTACCGGACGGTTCCTTCATGGTTTTCCATGCTACTACTAATTCAAACCCTCTTACGCGGCCAATGTATACGGCCACGATGGACTGGAACGGGGTGACTGTTTCAGTATAATCTTGAGGTGCAAAAATACGCGAGACGAGGTCGATGCTGGAGAGGGATACTTGACAATCGCGAAAAGTGTACTATATTTATACCATTTTGTTCTTTTCTCTTACATTTACTCAAAATATGGAATATTTCATTATCGAGAACCGCAGACTCGTTGATGGGTTACAGGTTATACCCATGCTGCTTTAAAAAGCCGAACATTTCGTGAACAGGGCATTTACCCAGAATCATTCCCAATGTACTCAGATCATCTGTTGATATTGATCTTATTCTACTAACACTGTATATATATTTTATAGGTTGAATTTGGGAAATCGTTCGACAAATTGTGCGAAAGGCCAGCGCAGTCCGCTTTAACGGAAACGTTCCCGAGTCGTTGGGACATGCCATTGGGGTGGCATGGGTGGACGTTCTCGCAGAGGAAAGTGTTCAGGAAATCGGAGACTGACAGTGGCGGCACCTCAATAGTAGTAAACGCGCCAATGAGCAAGGAGAACAACTTGAAGCAGTAAACTTTAAACGTTAAACCATGTACACTCAGTCCCAGTCATTGCGAATAGCAACCTCTTGATCACGATTTGAATATTGTTTTTCTGGAACACACGAAACAAGAGAGAAGGCGAGATTTTTGGACTCTACAGGCTTCCAAGACCCACTTTCAATCCCGTTTGTCTGAATCGGGTGCAAGCGAGTCAAATGGACGTTACCCCATATATGATCTCTTAGATGAAATTGTTTATGAAAAGCAATGCGGTGCTGCCGTTTACTGCAATTCGGTTTAACGCGCAACTCTGCTATATTCTTTCCACCCGGACTGCACACTAATACTCAATCTTGGGGCCTGCTTATCGTTCTAAAATTTCCATTCATAAGTACGCTGGTGCTTCAGTTTGCTTATCGACCGTCATACAAAAAACTGGTATGGCTGATTATCTTGATTACAATGCTTTGTCTGAGTATTCTACAATAAAGCCTACTTATCCCGCGCAATGTCTCTCGATTATGGAGTCAAATACACGCCCTCTACGGTATCCGCTGGTAACATTTCCATATCCGATTTGAATACCTACGGTATCAAACACGTCCGTATACAATGGGTTGACTTGATAAACAACGTCCGCTATCGCGTAGTCACCCTTTCTCATTTCAACAAACTGCTCAAGTCCTCTCGTCCGAGTATTTCTGTGACAAAATGTGTTTTTGGTCTCGTCTTTCTTGCCCTTGCTCCAGGGTTCAATGCAGTCGGAGAATATCTCTACGTGATAGAGATTTCGACACTCAGACTATGTTCGTATGCACCTGGACACGCTGTTGTCATGGGCCGTTTCGAAGAAAAAGTCCCCATTATGAGTCCCAGCCATAGCCTTTCTGTACAAGTACCACTTTGCCCTCGAACAACCCTTCGCCGGGTTACTGAGTGAGTTTCTCATGCCTTTTTTTCAATATTATTTCTATTGACTCCCTCACATTTTTCTCAGAGACGCAAAGCGGACACTGGGTGTTGAATTCCTCGTTGGATTCGAGACAGAATTCATTCTTCTGAAGTCCACCAATCCAATTGTAGCAGTTAACAATCACGGCTGGTCGAACTCTGCAGCGCTCGGTGCCGGAACCGTGGAGAGTAAGGTCCTCGAAGAGATTTCAGACGCTCTCGTGGCTTCGGGCATAGAGGTACAGATGTACCATGCTGAGGCAGCTCCTGGTCAAGTAGGATAATTGACCTGTATCTCTTTTCTCGCTCATCGCTCTTACCCCCTAGTACGAACTTGTAACCGGTCCCTTGCCTCCCTTGGAAGCTGCCGATGCGCTCATTCACAAACGAGAAACTATCTTTAATATCGCTAGCAAGCACGGTTTGCGAGCTACACTCGCACCTCGATTGTATAAAGATAGCTGTGAGATATTTCTTTCTCGAGACATCGGTGTTCGAGCTCATATCTCCTTTAGGTGGAAGTGCAGCTCATGCTCACATTTCCGTCCATAGTACACCTGGTCGTAGCAATGGGGAACTGTCGCAATCCGTAGAAAATGCACTGACCTCTATCGAGTCTTCATTCCTTGCCGGCCTCTTATCTCACCTCCCCTCTGTTACGGCATTCACTCTCCCTCTACCCGCATCCTACAGTCGGATGCTAGACGGTGTTTGGTCTGGAGGCACTTATGTCTGCTGGGGAACCGACAACCGCGAGGCCCCGATTCGGCTATGTAACGCAAGCTCCCTGTCTTCACGTAACTTTGAAGTCAAGTGCATCGACGGGACGTCAAATCCATACCTTGTGCTTGCAAGTTTACTATCTGCGGGCTTGTCTGGTGTTAAAGATAGCCAGAAGCTGGATGTGAAAGATCTGAGTGATACTAAGAGTGCAGCACAGTTGGACGAATCTGAACGTCGAGCGATAGGAATCACGCAGAGGATGTCGCTCAGCTGGGAAGAGGCCCGACATAACTTGGCAAAGGACTCTGTGATTAAAGAGTACATGGGCCAAGCCATGGTCAATAGTTACTTGGATGTCAACGAAGTAAGCAAGCCCTCCTTGTTTGATTGAACCCCACTAATTGCGGTGTACTTCTCACCAGATATTAGCAAGAATGATGGAAGCGGAAACAGAAGCAAAGAAAGTGCAGCTCTTGGTAGAAAATTATTGAAGACCACTTTGTGTGCTTTTTATGCATGTGTGTTTAGACATATCAATACATACAAGAGGACGCACAAATTCACCAGTAATGATATATGAGCCTATAGACATTGCTTTGAGATGCACTACGATTCTTTTGGCTGAGCCAAATTAGACCAGTGTGCAAATGCATCAATTTTGCTTCGCTTATTGAACTTGCGCCGCACGTCTTGCAGTTTCTTTTTGAGTAGCTGGCCATGTTTGGAAATGCGAAGAAGTACCACAGAAAACTCGTAGGCTTGGAGTGGGTCTGAGATGTTATACGACCGTATATTTCGTTCCATTAGATTTATTTTCTATGGTAGGGGGTGGTAAGGTGGCAATGAACATATCAATGAACACACTTACTTGTTGTTTGGACGAGTACCAAGCCATTGATAGTGCTCCTTCAGACCCAGACGTGACAAGGCCAAAAAGTGGAAAATCAACGATCCCTAAGGATCTCAGAAAATACAGTGCGGAAACTGTATACATTCGAGACTGGTTCAAAGCCTTGAATGTCGTAGTAACGTCTTTTTTCTTGTACTCCGCGGTAAGGACCGGCAATAATAGATCGTTGTCTATTTTCCTGTCCTTGGTTGCCTCCAGCAGATCAACTTTTTTCGACAGGGCTTGCAAGGACTTGGAGGGAGGTCTCGGAATAGTTACCTTGAAGATATTGTGCAGGAAGGAAAAAGGAGTTTTGCCCTTGACTGACTCCGTTTGTGAGGACGGATTGGGCCGGGACGGCTGAGGCTCAACGATCAGATATTGAGCTGAGCCCGAGAGTGCTGAGTTCAAGTGAAGTTAATAAGTAACTCTACAAATCAATTGTTTTCCTCACCTCTGTCATTCTGACCAGTACCAGATACCACCTTTTCCGCACCAGTACCAGATACTGCCGACTTTTCCGCACCAGGATGTGCTACCAAAGCAAGATTTTTCACGAACTTCCTGCCTTCGGACTTGCCAAGGATTTTAACGATTTTAGCGCAGACGCCTTCAAGGGGTACGACCAGAATTGCATCACATTTTCCACACGTCGGTTCTTGGTTGGTACGATGTTTGAGGGCATCAAGCACACTGGCTGCTGCATCATCCTTGACTTGGGTGATAAAGGAACTAGACTGAATGAGCGCCTGAAGAGCGTGAGTCTCGATATCTAGGTTTCCTTGCTCTACAGCGTTGTTGTACGCTGCTAAGCAATGTAAACGATATTGAAGCGTTACTGCATAGCGTTCTTTCACGCCATCAGCAGAAGTTTTCGTTGCATCAAGGGCTATATTTCGAGGTGCATTTAAAGAACGTTCCAGCCTAAGCAAACGGTTAATTAGGCTTTAGGGCAGATTGCCTGTTACTTACAACACATCACAGTTTGTGCTGCCAGTGTATGTCGAGTTCGTGAAAAATTTGAGTAACAGATTGTCCCAATCATGGCGGCGTTCAGCTTCATTAGAATTACGTTTCGCCGCTGCAAGAGCTCGAGTATATGCACCATCGGAAGATGACAACATAGAGGAGAACCGACTGGAGAGGAGTTCCATGATTTTGGTCTCCAGGTCTGGAACCTCGTTGCCAGCCTGGACATAGTTGTTATAATTTACAAAAAGTATTTTACGATGCCCTTCAATGCTAAGGTCTGTTCCAGGGAGGTCACTCTGCCTTGACGTGAATATATAAGATGCAGCACTAAGACTCAAGGAAACTAACCAATGTTTTCCAACTGCTTGGCCAGCAAAATTTGGTTGTCTCGTCATAAAATGTGATTTTCTCATTAATCTCTTTTGCTTGCAGTCCAGGGTTATGAGCAAAACTTGTTAACAAGATTCTACCGATCGTGAATGCTCTTCTATCAAAAAGCCAATTCGTAATCGATAATTCTTCATCTAAGCCATTCTCACTCTTCATCGCAAAACTAGCCCAGCTGTCAGTCATGATTTAACACATTTAATGTATATGCTCTCACCTAGAGTTTGATAAATCTGTGTTCGACTTTTTGCTCGAGGACTGCTGGCTGACAGCATGTTGATTTCCAGGGGGGCTTGTATCTCTAAATATCGATTGACCATATCATTTCTATCGCTACCGCTCAAAACTTGCTATGCTCACATGCTCACTTTGCGGTCACTTTGGGTACCATCAACTTTGACACTTCTGCGGGGGATTGAGCATAGATTAAAGCGACGACGAGGAGTCTCACTAACAAAGTATATTTGGAGCTTCTGGGCTCATCATGTCCTTCCTCGTGAATAGTACCCAGATTCGTTGATGACATAGCTGGGGACCAGTAGCTAGGCTGAGAACGTGTAGCGTGTAATGGTGGGGTACGGGGAGGAGAAGAGGAAGTATCGCTGCTTTAAAAAGAAATAAATAAGGATGCATGCCCTGCAACTACAAAACTGAAAATAGTAGGAACCTCGCGCATGTGGACACGTGTACGTCGCATGCCCACCTTGAAACTCGCTCCTTCCATTGTTCTCCTGATTCAGAGGAAATATCGATGAGATCTGATCTCCAGTGCAGGGATGGATCCGCATCGACAGACGTTACTGATGTGGCGTTGATAAGGTCCTTGAAATACGACGATAATCCAAGCACAAATTGGGCCAATGATATGGCGGCCACTGGGTCGGTTAAATCGAATATGCCTAATGACGCCTTAGGCTGAGAGTTTGGGCTGGCACATGCGATATGGACCCCAGGCTAGAGAAGGGTTCAGTCGAGTCATAGAAGAGAGAAGAAGAGCTTACCAAATCTCCGCTCGTCCCAGAATCATGATCCAGCCAACCAAATAAGACTTGGCCAACAGTTCCAGTCCCTTGGAAAATAATTCCGATAACTGGTTGGTCGATGTGCCAAACACGCCGTTGGTAAAGCATACTTGACATGAGAGGGATGATATTATATTCGTCAGCAACCCCGATAATCGGGAGGACGGCGGAGAGATGACGACCGCGTGTGGGAAGAAGATGGGCGTGGATAGGAAACTTCGAAGAATGATTCTTTGAGCTACTCGTGTTTGCCTTCCTCTTCTTCGTAATTTCGCCGTTATCCCCATAGTTTTCGTCTCGTACATGAGAAGAATTGTCATCGCTAGAAGAGCTCGTACAGCTGTCTTGTGAGGAGTGACATGCTGAGCCAGTGTCTTGATCTTCATCCGCTCGATCGACATAGTGGGCTATAATAAGTGATGCAAAGCCGTCGGTGATTGGACCACTGGAGGAAACATCCTGCGAATGAGGCGCGCGTGGCCTGACAAAATATTCATCTTCACTAAAAATTGAAAATAAATCCGCGCGTCAAGTTATCAGAAACATGCAAACTTCAAAAAAAAAAAAAGAGAAAAGATCATTACAGTATCGATATGTCTTCCGAGCAATGGAGAAATAGATGCTTAAGCATTGTGATCCAAATTGGAATGGTGGGGCGAGGACAACCGTATGCAACGCTGCCACTGAGGGCGCGTAAATCAGACGAGGCCGTCATGACCAAGTCAAACACGACTTTCAAAGACGTAGAGCCGCCATAATTCTCGGTCGTTACTATATGATCAGTTGAGTATCCAGATAGAAGATCTACAGAATCAGAGGCACAAGGGGACGTGAAAGGGTATGGACCGGTGGCAAGCCAAGATGGGAGTGGCTGAGAAAGTAAGTCTGCGAGCTTCGCTACAGGAGGAGGCCAGTCATAAATATCTTCAAGCTCGTGAATCACTGTCGTCGCATCCATGGAGTAGAAGGTTATAGCGGTGGAATATGATGTGTAAGCCCGTGACCTGTTGCGATTGTTCCACTCGAGGTCTCTTGAATCGTGTAATGCGTTGAGTACTAGCTTCCGTTTGAAAAGGAGAGAAGTCGTAGTTTTTAACGTCATTTACATGATACAAACCAGATCAATCCCACCTTGTCAGCTGCACTAAGTAAAAGTGGGATCACGTTTGACTCTGAACCATTGTGTTCCCAATTAGGAAGGTCTGGTCCACAACGGGCAGCCATTGACACCGGCCAAATCCGTTTTCAATGTTTCAGAATAACTTGAAGATGAAGTTCTTCAAGTTCGACAGATCCATAGGCTTGCATTCACTCCATAAGCGCACATTCGCGTCAAAATTGCGCCGACATTCAAGTCTAGCACAAGCTCTCCGCAAGCAAGCTCCAATCGACATTCATCCAGAAGTCGAAGACGCGCTAGGTCGTAATATACCTGTTGTCGCTCTCGAGTCAACCATAATATCCCATGGCATGCCCTATCCTACTTCGTTGGAGACAGCTCAGTCTCTTGAGAGTATAGTCAGATCTACTGGCAGTGTGCCAGCCACTATTGCGCTCATTGGCGGTCGCATCAAGATCGGTCTCCAACCTCTCGAGTTGGAATACATTGCAGACACGACTGCAAATCCCAATATTACCAAGCTTTCGAGACGTGATATTGCTCCAGCAATTTCTATGAAAAGGGACGGTGCGACAACGTGCAGCGCCACGTTGATATTCGCAGCTTTAGCAGGCATTAAGGTAGATTTATAACCTTTTGGAATGAATTCTTTGCTGATGCAACATTTCTGAGTTAGGTCTTTGCTACAGGAGGGTGAAACGTTTTCTATCTGCATGGAAGTTCTTTTTTCTGACATCGATAATATTATACAGGTTAGGCGGAGTTCATCGTGGTGGAGAGCGCAGTTAGTAGTTTCCACGTCACCATCTTCTAACCTGAGGCTCACTACGAAAAGCTATGGATGTATCTGCTGACCTGCAGGAATTGACTCGTTGCCCTGTTGGACTAGTCTCTGCGGGGGTGAAGTCCATTCTTGATATAGGGCGGTCAGTCTGAACAAGCCTTCTAAGCTAAATATCTGCTCATTAAGAGCGTCTTGCAGAACTCTGGAATATTTGGCAAGTCAGCTTAATCATGTTCAAAGAGGCGTTGACCTATCGACCAACACTATAGGAAACTCTTGGAGTACCGGTTCTGACTTATGGCCAAACTAACGATTTCCCAGGTTTCTACACCGCTAGAAGTGGCTTTAAAGTATGTCTCCACTAATTTCATACAAATTCGATAACGGAGATATCAAATCTTACCAGACACCTTGGCGAGTAAACGATGCAGGAACTGCTGCAACGGTCTTACGTGCGTACTAACAAATTCACCTAATCACAACCACTAAGTTGTAGGATGTTCAGACACACAATGGAAGCTTGGGATGACAAACGGAGTTCTATTCGCTGCTCCTATACCAGAAGAATACGAGGCGGCTGGCTTGGCCATCCAGCAAGCGGTTGAGCGGGCCATCTCTGAGGCTGAAGACAATGGCATCCATAAGAGTGGAAAAGAAGTGACGCCTTGGCTTCTGAAACGTGTCGGCGAGATAACGGGAGGGAAGTCTCTTGCTAGCAGTAAGCATACGACCAGATTTACTCGCTCATGGTTTGAGTTCAAGTTACAGATGTCGCACTTGTACGAAACACGGCACTAATCGGTATGTAGTGACTATCGCACGAAAGAAGTTCCTTGTCGACCAACTCTTTAACAGGCGGTCAGATTGCCGTAGAATATGCAAAGTTGGAACGATATACTACAGCACAAGATGTTGTAAGGATGAACCAGCCTCCCGTTCCATCGAAAGTACTCATCGCTCGTATATAGCAATTACATCCTGTTGCAAAGCTTTCCACTCTAACCAATCTCACTATACAAGAAAAACCAGTCTACTCCAAGGTAGGTAATTCCGATTTCGAGCTAGCTCCGAAATAACAATACAGGTATGTATGGTAGACAGAGCCATCTCCCTCACTAATTGTCGTCGGCTGTGCGGCAGTTGATATAACTTCCCAACCTTATGTGCATCCAGACTCGAATTCTAACCTTGGTTTACACTCCACTTCGCCTGGAAAGGTATCCATATCCTTAGGGGGAGTCGGACGCAATATAAGCGAAGCGGCTCATAGAATTATGTCTTCCCAATCGCCTGACTTGTCTTCTGCCACCATGTTAATGTCTCCAGTCGGTAGTGATCCTTTTGGCCGACTACTTATGGATGAAACTCGGATGCTCGGTATGAGAACAGATGGATTAATCGCGAACGATGAAGAGAGTTCCGCTGTCTGCAATATGCTTGTCGATGCCTCAGGGAATCTCAAGGAAGGCGTTGCTGACATGGATATAACATGTTCATTAGATGGAGATATGGTTGGTCGATGTCTTCCTTTAGTTCCGCCAGCGACCTGATGAAAATTTAGGTCGTGCGGTATCTAGAAACGTACACGCCCAAAGTCTTAGCTGTCGATGGTAATTTGTCCGAAACCACGCTTACAACACTTGTAGATTACTGTTCACAGAAAAAACTTGACAGTAAGTCACAGCCAATCATTATCAAACTTCCTTCTCTTATCATTCGTTCAGTTTTCTTGTGGGTACATTGCGTTGCATAACTACGTGCACATCTGAATTTCCATCAGCGAACCTACATCGGTCATGAAGTCGACGAATATCCTTTCAGCAATTGCAGAGGTCAAAGACTTAACGCGTTCTCCTGTAACCTTTGCATCTCCTAATATCCTTGAGCTTTGTCGCATATACCATGAAGTGCGCTCACCCTCGTGGGACCTAATGTCTAGTGAAGCATGGTGGCGTGTTATCGACGGGTTTGGACTGGGCTCGGCATTCCGCATGGATTTGGAGAAATTAGCTCGAATGGATGTCTCAAAGGACGACCCCAGACAAGGAACACTATCTTTCCTAATCAGCGAAGGCATTGCACAAATGGCCATAAATCTCCTCCCGTTTTTCGAAAAGCTCGTGATAAAGTGTGGGGAACGTGGCGTCATAGTCGCCATGCGCTTAAGCGGACATGTTGTGGAAACTTTGCCATGGATATCAGCGACCAATAGCTTCGATGCTCGCCGTGTCATCGCCCGGTCTATGTCTTCACGGGAGATGGTCGTTCTGCAGCACTTTCCAGCTCTACACATTGACAAATCATCCATAATCAACGTCACAGGAGCTGGGGATTCACTGGTCGGCTCGCTCCTTGCCACCCTTGTGAGCAACCCCAAGGCGTTTGAGAGCCCAAAATCATTGAAGGACATGGTCGATAAAGCGCAACAGGCCGCAGTGTTGACTTTACAGAGCTCGGCTAGTGTCTCTCCATTACTTTCAGCTATGTCTGCATCTAAAAAAACTCTGGAGTTGTAATACAGGTATTTTGATCTATAAACAAACATGTTATCATACTCAATTGGCCTTCATATATTCGAGACCACTTTCAAATAACACTACTGACGTGCACGTGAAATGCACGTGTTAACCCCTGTCTCCCATTGGTTTTTGGTGTCTCAGAACTTTTGCACATATGCCAGTCATTGCCTGATTTTTGTCTTCATTCTCTATGTGAAAGCTCTATAATTTCTTTTTGCAATTGCTCTGAGCAACTATTAGACCCCTCCATCTGGTAACCCACCCCTCGCTAATACTTACTTACCAGCTTTCTTATCAATCCTCCTTTACTACCCATTGACCTGAACCGTCCACTTTAACACTAAGTTTCCATTTTTGTTGGTCCATCCACTGATCTTTGAGAAACCCGTCCCACCATCGTATGTGAACCTCCCCATAGTTGTCAAAGAAGTAACCCGCAATTCTCGGATCTGGTCCCAGATACTCATGCCTGCGATATCGAGTTGATCAATTCGAACTAGACTGGCTTCCGCAAAACCATCCACTCGCCTTCTTGATACGACGTCATCCGCGTGAACATAATTCACTGCCTTTACACCGTCAGCTTTCCCCTCTTTCAACTCCATATAATGTTCAAATACGAATTGATTGAGATCCATCCCCTCTGAAATCCCTCGTACATCCACTCCGCCCCGTGCTAAATAGGTCCGCGGGAGATGCATCCTCGTGCGATATTCGACACATTTTTTTTGTAGAGGCCATCGATGAACGTGCCAGGCAGATGCTCTACTGATATCTGTTAATTTTTTAATCGCAACTTGTCGTTCCTTTTCGCTCGGTTTTGGAACATCCAAGGTCAAATTTGGTTCCTTGTTTTCCTGCTTGGCCTTCATAATTCGTGCAGCTTGACGACTGACAAAAGAATGTGAAGCGACCAACGTTGATCGTAATTTTAGCTGGTGTCTTTTATTTGATCGATAGCGACTTCGAATTTGATCAGTTTGCTGAGTGTCGCTCCAGATTCAGAGCTTAGCAAAAAAAGGTCAGAATTCGAAGCATGCATGTACATCTGCGAGTCACATATGCTGCACATTTTGCTCATAGTAGAGTCATACACACTGTGGGAAGTAAGGTCACTGAAAGCCAGCTAGTTCATCACCGACTGATCTAAGCCCAGTGACCGCATCACTGAAACCACCACTAGTATTCAGCGTTAACACTGATCACTGATGTTCATTGTATATTACAATAAGTCAATGATGTACAAATTGCTAAAATCAATTAATCATTCTGGTCAATCACTGAATTTTTATCAAAGAGTTTCGATTGCATAAAGTCATCATCTGGAGTCATAAAACTCAGATTCTACTCCCTCTGTGTCCTGGTGTGTGAAAGCGACAGAAGCAAGACCACTTGTTCGGTCTATGATTCCCCACCTTCCTCTTGTCTTCACTTGTCCGACAACAGCTTTGATGTCACGAATGTCCGTGGCAATGGCAGCTGCTAATCCACCATACACAGCAACTTCTAGAGCTGCATCTTTACCCTCAGTTTTACATGGTGTGATGACTGCCAATAGAAGTCCACGACCAGATAGATCCTTCCAAAAATCATCATTTCCAAGCTGGCAGACAAGTATTTGTTCGAGATGGCCATAATGAGTGGCAGTGATAAAATAACCATGCACCACGGGCAAGAAAACGTGCACTGTGAAAAACCTGAGATTACGAATCATGAAAATGTCCCGAAAACCCGGTCATTTCCGGCACATTTCAATCAGATTTTGCCTGCATGTTCGGTTCTAGAGATCTACACAAAACCTGTAGGTTTTCTGCACATTTCAACTAGATACTCATGAAGGACTTGGTCGTTTTCTGGAGTGCTTTGAGTTCCATAAATATGATTTATTATTTTAGTATTTTAGTTAGCTTGTAAATAGGATAACCCTCATCGGTCTTGAAAATAAGCTAAGTTATTCTTCATATTATACCACCACCTCAAGATGACTTCCCTTACTCAAGACGAATTTGAACAATCTGAAATATCCACTCAACTTGTCCTGCCAGGATATAGATATGAATATCAATCAGACAAAGATAGCGAAACCTTATCGCAAATCCAGGCACAGAGTCTCGACTTTGGCTATCACTCCAAGCGCGACTTGTCCAGTACTCCAAGTCCAAAGCATTTTGTGTCCATCATGAAGACTTTTGTCTTGTCAGCTCGCTCTTTCTCCACCTTCTACACCACCAAACTTGTCCATGCCCAAAAGGCAATCAACTCTGCTTGTACAACCATCCTTACAATCCGCCAGCTAATCAATGTCCAAAACAACCATTCTCGACGCATTGGGGAAGCAATAGGTCAAGCCCTTGATATCATCCGATCAGCAAGGTGATCAGTCCATACTATCAGTGAAGATATGGACCGCATTCATATTGATATACAGAGGGATCCATCCGCCTAATCATACTACAATTTATCACTAACTATCACCATTTTACAGGAACATTACCATTAAACGCTGTGCCCTCAAGAAAAGCGACTACGTTGGCACAGGTGATACCACAGAAGAGGACTCTGAAGACAAATTTCTCGTCACGCTTAGCAAATCAAAAATCAACGAAGTCATTGCATCTTTCACTCCGAGTTTCTTGACTTGTTCTCGCAAACACATTCGGCTATCACACTCTGGGTTTGGAGGCTTAGGTTCTCAGTGAGTACTAGTACTTTATAATATATCAATTATATCTATTTAAACTAATATGTTTATAGGTTGTAACATATTCACCAACCCGTTCAGAGAAGCAATTAGGCAGGCAATAAAAGAACGGGGGCTCTTTTCCTAGGCTGTACTAGCAACACAATGACCCACTTATACTAATGTCTGCTATGAATTGTACTAACATATTTTTTTGCTGTCTGTAATGTAAAATAAGTACATGTGACATCAACACTTCAAATTCACTCTCTCTCACTTGCTCTCTCTCTCTCTTACACATATATGCGAACAACTTGATGGCTCCCTCAATACATATTCCCCCAGGACACAGCAAGTACACATGTTCAAAGTGTGTCAAGAGTATACTATGATACAAAGTGCAAAGGACAGCAACAACCCGACACCATTTACTTCAAGATAACCAGGAATCAATGAAGACCACCAGCCATATTAAGCCGTCACAAAATCCCTCATATTCCCAACCTCCTAGTCCACAACAAAGCTCAGCAAGTCTGGATGATGCAAGACCTGATCTTGGCACTCAAGACAATCAAACCAACGAACATTCATACCCTCCGTTCCAAGATCAAGACTTTTATTTTGATGAGCCCCAAGACGATGACTCCAGCTATGATCCAACACAGGATAACAGTCCAGATGGCCAGGATCAGCCAGTGGATGAGCCAAACACTGACCCAGAACAACCCCCCATATATTCGACTAACACTACCTCTGATAATCCTGACTTGGGCCCAAAAACGCTTGTCCCAGCATTTGATGACCACCAACCACTACATCTTGCATATCTACAGACAGCAATGGCTCATATTGTAGATGGACACACCATAATCAAAGCGACAAATCAATTACAAGGTGCACTTGATTTAATTGATATATGTGGTACCTTACCAATTGAACCACACCCTCTTCATTCCCTTGCTGGAGTCAAAAGTCATCTTGGCATTGATCTGAATGAATACATAGAACATCACACTATATGTACACTTTGCTTCAAACATTATACTCCTCAAGACATTCAAAAACTTGATGACTCCAAATGCACGCAACTAAGGTGTACAGGAATTGTTTACAGAGAGAAGAGAGGTTTGATTAACCCGGTTACAGGACAACCAGGGCCCGTTAAAAGAATACCAGCAAAAATACATTCCTATTCACCTCTTATCAAAGCAATTCAATGGTTTTTCCTTCGCAAAACCTTTGTAAAAAATCTCAGGGACACTTCTCAAGACAATGTACGATCTCCTCTGGCAAGTCACAAGCAAATAAATGACTTACACGATGGCACTGAATGGAATAAACAAGAAATAGGTCTCAAGCGGTCAATACTATCAAATGGCGCCCATAGGGACATTAAAATCAAACCTGGCTCACGTCACAAACTAATCAATTATGATGTAGGACTCAGCATGACAATTAATATTGATTGGTACACTTTTTATTTCAAATGAGAAGGTGTTTAATCTACTGACATTAATAATAGGTTTGGAATAACTGATAATAGACCACATTTTTCAGGTGCAGTCTATGTCTCGTTCAATAATCTACATAGATCTATCAGGTATCTATCCCACAATGTCCACCTAGCAATGACAATTCCAGGCCCGAAGGAACCAAGCTTGGAACAGCTTAACTATATACTTGACCCACTTGTAATGGAGCTTCAACAAATCTACTCAGGTGTCCTTATGAGAATGTATGGCCACACAATCCCTCGTGAAGTCAATGTATTCGTATTCATGCAAACATCCGGTGTCCCAGCCTCTCATAAACTAAGTGGTGCTGCAGGTCATTCACATAAAAAACATCCATGTAACATATGTGAAGAACAACTTGATACCATCAACACTCCTTCATGTTACGACATAGTGAATTTCAAGTTTCAAAAAGATTCAAGCCAGCTTAAATATGCTTACCAGTCTAAACTTGCCAGCTCAGAAAGGGCTAGGAACAAAATACTCAATGATCATGGTTCACAATACTCAGTACTCAATAAGCTACCAACTTGAATGCCTATACAATGATCTCCTATTGATTTTATGCATAACTTCTATGGTATGGTGTGCCTTACTTGTTTTTATTACTTGTGCCTTGACATATTTAATCACAGGCATTGTACACTCATTTTTTGATGTCATTATTGATGGATACCTTCTCAATGCCAACGGATGGTGGGTCTTTCAAGGTGTCACAAATTCAGTAATATGGCTATCTGGTATTGGACAACTACCAAATAATGTATGTACTACATTTTATACATCAGTACACTTTGAGCTTGTGTCTCAATTATTGCAGCTTGGTGAAAACCACTCTCTCCAGAAGGCTGGTTAGTGGCAACAACTCTGTACCCTATTCCCGACTATCCTATATGTCTGCTGGAGGGATAAAGACAACAAGATCAAGGCTAGTGCCCCACCAGTACCAGCTCAATCAAAATCTCCTCCTGAGTTTACTCGATGCTGCAATACACTCAGCTGAACAAATCTTAGTGTCTCGCTCAATATCAAAAGATGAAGTTGAACGTGGACAACAATACTTACAGTTACATTCTAATGCTCTCCAGTGTCTTGGTGTCCATCTAACTATCAACCACCACCTTTCAATGCATTATTCCTCCATTTTCAAGCACTTTGGTCCTGCATATGGGTGGTGGTTGTTTGCGTTTGAACAATTCAATGGCAAGCTTGAGTGGGTTAATTTGAATGGACATGCAGATGGAGAAATGGAGTATACACTATTGCAAGATTGTGTCAAGAAGCCGGTTGTATGAGATGGTAAGTTCTTTTTTTTATTCATATTTTCCTCTAACTATGTTCTCTGTTACAGTATGTATTGCTTCCTGAGAACGTAACAGAAAAAGCACACAAATTACTAGGTTGCATTGTCAAAGAGAAAGGCCTCACCCGCGGTACTTTGTGCTCACATATTGCAGGTTTCTCTTGCACAAGCCTTTTATATCCAAAGCCAATCAAGAAATACAATAATGTCCGGAGACTCCCGTGTGTTAGAGTATATAGCTTGCTTCTGGAATTTGTTCGCAAGAAATGGCCAGACCTTATTATTGTCGATGACATGACAAGTCAACATGGAGCTATACCTTTCTCTCGCCGTTTAGTCTCTGTGTTCCCATTTGTTGTTAAAACTGGGATCCAATATGGCTGTACAACTTCAACTTGTACACAAGCTGATCGATTTGCAACAGTTGATTTTTCTATAGGTTATATTCCTTGCAAACTTATCTACCATGTCAAAGTGAAGATCCCCAACAAACCAGAGTTAAGTTGTTCTATCATACGTTGGATGGTTGCGGATGATAAGATCACTTTGTTGCCATGGAGTCTATAGTAAGTGCTACAGCTTTTGTTCTGTATTCGTTGAATATCTGTTGCCAATTTCTAGTTCTACAAACCTTGGGATCTACGTAGCATATGCAGATTGTTTCCAGGGACTGGAATTGATTGATAGTGATCAACTCACATCTGCTGTAGCCGTGATTACCATCAAACTCAATCAAGACATATTTACTGATAAACTTTGGATCATCCATTTGTTTGATTGTATAAGTATCTATTTTTGACATGTGTTGAATATCTAAACATTCTACAGAGTGGTGTTGAACCACCTAGCAATGACTGGTTGGACAAAATTGAGCAAAACCTCAACAGCTCACAAGAATAATCCCATCCTATCAATGGGCTCCTTTATTCTGAAGACTCTAGCTCTGGACAACCATTTTGCTTGAACAGGTCATCTTAGTGAGTCTTTCCTAGTATCTCATCAAGGCTATTCTGTGCTTTTGTACTGATGTCTTCTTTTGGAACTCGTTCAATTCGTATAAAAATCTTGTCGCCATCTTTGGCTGATTGTTTTTGTTTGCGGTGCACAACCCCATTCAACCCATCATCAATTGGATTTTCTTCATCACCCCACGCTGTACCACTGTAAGCAAGCCTTGAAGAACCAAGAATATTGCTATATTCAGCCAAGGCCAGTAGTTTTGGCTTAATCTGCCACGCACAGAGCCAATGTTTGAGGAGTTTTGTGAAAGGAAGTGGATAGTTGTTGATGATGGGGCCATGAACATGCAGTGTCATGGCTTTTTCTTTGCTCGGCTTTGGATCTGGGATTTTCTCAAGGTTGTCATATATTGTTTGAAGCTATAAAGGTCAGTGTTTTGTGAAGTTTATATGATTTATGACTTACTATTTCACTCCAATAATCTGGGGCTCTACTAATGAATGTCCTAACCTCATCTGACGTTGGCCGATAGTCCGGATTGTCCTCATCGTCAGACATAGCATTTAGGATAAATGCGGCATTAAATTTCTTGTCGGTGTAAGTAGAAAATGGCTGTTTGCAAATTTGTTGGTTGAGTTTCTGTTTTGGAACAGGTGAGTGCAAGAATCATCATATCATTGTCTGAAACACTCACAGACTGTGCACAAGAGTCTCTGTGTGCTTTGGACACTGACATGCTTACAAGGTTCTCTTCTTGAGTGTCAGATAGGTCCCTGTCATCTTCATTCTCTCAACTCGCCAGTGCCTTGTCCTTTTGCAATTTCAAACAATACTGCCTTGCCATATATTGGAATTTCACACAAATTTGATGCTTCAGGTTCTTTGGTAGCACAAGCTGAAGCATCCCTACAACTGGTGGTATTTCTACTGGTGCATTAAGTATGACCCATTGTTGAATTTCTACTAAATTTTTGCTATTTGCTTTGTCGTCAGCTGATAATTTCCAGTTATAACAATGTGATATTTTTTGAGTGGCAGTGTCTTTCGGACATTGACTGGGATCAATTGACAACAGGTAATCTGGTAAGTGCTTCACTTTGAGTTTATCAACACCAAGTTTTCTCATAAATACTTCATTTATAGCATCCTTGTATATTTTAGTGAGTATGGTTCTGGGCTATAATGCAATATGATACTCACTTTCACAGGCTTTGAGTCAGCCGCTTCAAAGCTCAAAGCCTCTCGTTGGTGGGGAGTGAGTGTTTCGAGTGCAATAGTCACAGGATTGATGTTGTTGAGGGAGATTTGAATTGAGGTGAGCACATCCTCCATATGTTCCCTATCACCACTAATATCTGACTCATTATTTTCTTCCTCTCCTCCACTTTCCTCGCATTCTACACAGTAAACCCCTCCTGCCTTGTTGAGTGCAACAATTTGTTTTTTCAGGTTGTCCATCTCAGCTTTGATTTGTTGATTATCCTGTTGAAACAGGATATTTTCGGCATTCAAAACCTTGACTCTTTTGTCGGTAATGTCTCTGAAATGCTGGTGAGTAATCTTAAGATCTTCTATTTCTCTTATAGCTGCTTTCAACATGATTATGTTGGAATTAGGTGTTCGTTCATTTGTTGGTCCCTCAAGTTGAGAATGGGAGTTTGGCTCGGAAGCCATAGTGCTGGGGATTGAAGGATGAGATTGATTTTATTCAGTATTATATATATACAAATGTTTGTCTATAACTTTTTTGCTGTCTGATAGCTGTATTTATCAGTATAATGATTCAGAATTGACGACAACAATGAAGTGTATACCAAAGCACTGTGTGAATTACATAATATAATAATTTTGGCTGGATCATCAGTTCGGCGGAAAGCAATCAGATTTAAGTATTACAAGGTCCACAACAGCTGTACTGTCATTATCTAAGATTATGAGTAAACAGTGTGCCCAAACACCACTCAAGGTCCATCATTCAATCATGTATCGGCCTAACTTATTTCAATGCATCAGTTTGGTCCTTAGTTCTAATGTATCACCTTTGGTTCCAAGGTGGATTATTAAGATCAAGGCTGAGAGCCCCAACATTAGCATACATATTTCTTTGTGAGTAAAATACCCCACCCAGGCAAACTATTATAGGTCCTGTATGCTAAGCTTTGATGTGGTGCTGACTTTGGCTTTATGTAACCAAGTTTCAGAATATCAACAGTGGCTTGGACAGGCTAGAATGCAGCTGAATCCTGAAAATTTATGATTGTTTTTCTTCTTCTATACTATCAAAGAAGAGACAAAATGTAGCAGTTCTTTCACAAATTGCACATTCTAAGTTCCAGCATGGAAGACTCGACCCTTTGCCATGTGGTTGGTTCACAAAGGTTTATTCATGTAATGGCTTGGCCACACTGCATTACTTTAGCTGTGCTGCCACTGGCCTCTGATTATTGGGAGTTAATTGTGAGGAATCAATTTTTCTCTTTTCTCATTGCATTCCCATCATGTTGTGGTTATCCAATTTATTCCCTGTCACTCCTCTTGTTCTTGGACTAGAGATTACAGTTGGCATTCTATTACTCTTATCCTTTTTGTTCTTATTTTCCATTCATACTCACGTCCTATCGTACTTACAACAAAGGAGAACTGTTGTAGACCCTCAAGAAAATATCCAGATGACATAGCAATGATCCAATGCTATGTCTGGGAATACTTCAGAGGGATATTGATAAGCGAGGAAGGCTATGAATCAGCACCTTCTCATGGGCTTACTGATACAGCCAATTGTACACCTCTTACCAATATTTTCTCTCATGCAATTAGTAAATACGATAGATTGGACCACTTTCTCCGAGTCTTTCTTTTCTTATTGGTTAGTTAGTTGGTCAGACCATTGTTGTTCACTATATAAGGAAGTACATACTCGATGTATTATTCCTTAGTTCAATATTAGTTTGGATTTGCGCTTATACAGATACTCTTCAACTACACACTCTGATACACCGCCTTTCAGCAAGGACTTGGCCAGACATTGGGTGTTGTTATATAGCTTCGTATCTGTTGCCTGACAGAAATGATGCAATGATGGCCAAATGGGATTAACTTGGCATTGAAGGGCCAGTGCTCCTTGCAAACAAGGATAATGGTGCAATGGTACAGGGTGCTTGTCATGGTGCTGATTGTGAGCCAACTCCTGCTGAGGTGCGTGCACTGAATGAGTCAAGCTGAGGAGCAGTAAAAACAATCAGTCTTGCAGGCAGAATCTTCAACAATAAAGATAAGAAGAAAGGCCAGCATGATACATATTGCTGGTACATGGAAAACATAGGGCTGGTGGCCAGTCAATTTCCTGACACAAGCAATGTCAGGTTCCAGTCTCACATCAAAGCTGTGGAGGTGGTTCTCATGGATCATCAAGCTATACTCAAGTTTCTGGAATTTGTACGAGATAAGAAGGATCACTGGAAACTCAATCATATGGAACTCAACTTGTACAAGGCTCTCCACTGTTCGAAGACAATGACAGAGGTTGTTGCCATTGTGTTATATGGTGGTACAGTCTCACATCCATATTCACAGATGGTTTGGGGGCCAGGCACAGAGTCTCTCAATGTGCTGGACTTGGGACCATTACACGGAACTGAAACAGCACCTCAAACTCATGATTACCAATCCCGAGCTGATCTTTGGTGCTAATGTGGCCCCCAAGACAGCTTGCTTTGGTGGTCGGCTCTGTTTTAATCCTGCTGCTATGGCTGCAGCATTCAAACTTGCCTCCAAGCTTGAGCATCTGTGTCCAATCACACTAGCCCTATTCCAGGGAGCACTCAACAAGTGGGAATCATTCACAACTGAATATGCGCCAGGTGGCACAATTGACCAAGCCAGTACTGAGGAGCATGATGCTGCATGGATGCCTGCAATAAATGACGCAAACAAGGGGGCCCTTGGCATATTCCGGCTGCGTGCACAAGATAAGCCTACCTTATCAATGCATCAGCACAATGCAATCACACAATTTTGCCACAATGACACGCAGTTGTTTGTGGACGCAACATTCACCTCAGAAGATTTTTGCCATGCCATGCACCTCGTGAGAGAAATTGATAGCACTGGACTCGAGAAGAAGTGCCACCTTGAGATTATTCAGCATGAAGAGGGTGAGGTCCAAGCAAAGAGGCAGAGGGTTGCAGAGGCAGCAGAAGGAAGCACAGAAGAAGGCGAGCCGAGAGGCTGAATGCAATGCCACAGCAATAGTCCTGACGCCAAATGAAGAAAAACTGAATTGACTCACCAAGGATAAGCTGATTATTCAACTGAAGATTCACCGGGTACAAGACTCAACTATACCTTGGGGTCTGTGAGGCATAGTGAAGAAAAACCTCATAAGGATATTGATAGCTCAAATCTCTGTCGTTCTCCAGCAAAACATGCACACTGCAAGTGGAAGTGGTCCCTGTGAGCAAGATAGAAGCTAAGGGCACAGTCAAATGATAAGATTCTCGCGATCACTAGTTTCTTTGCATTTTTAATAAAACATAGTCAGGGCCTGTTCGGCAGCCACCGTTTCAAAATGTCACCCGCCAAAAAAGTTGCGTTTTGGAACGAGCTGACGTGTTCGGCAACTCAGCTTGTTTCAAAAAAACTTTGTCACACCGGTCTGCAAATTGTGTTCCCAACTTTTACACTCAAACTACAATAGCTCACACTGCTCTATCACTCTCAAACCCACCTCAAAAGCCCCCAATGACCTCTCAAAAGCTCACACTCAAGATTTCATCTATGAAAAACAGGCTCCTTGCCAACAAAGAGAACCAACCTCCTAGTCAACAATCTCAGAGTCCAGCCCCAAAAGAGCCCCGAAATGCAAAATGGACATCAGAGGATGATGCCACATTAGTGGATAAATTGAATAAGGCACAAATGGAAGGTAATCAACCTGACAATAATTTCAAAAAACCAGCTTTTGTTGCTGCAGCCGTTGTGCTGGTGCACCAAAGACATCTACAAATTGTAGCCGACATTGGGGAACAGTAAGTCAACCATTGTATAACATATATTGTACTGATTTTTATCATCACAGTTAAAGGCTATGTGCCTTGTTGTTCAGCAGCTCCGAGAGCCGTCTGGTTTTGGATAGGATGATACCAGAAAGAAAGTAACTGCTGAAGAAGATGTGTGGGATAACTATATTGCAGTAAGTGTAGAGTCAATAATTTAGTATGGGATGTACTCAATTAGATCTGTCTCAGTCCCATCCAGAACCAAAGCTATGGCGTACAAACCCTTTTCCACCCTACAATGATATAATTGGACTTATTGATGGACACTATGCCACTGGTGAGGGTGCTTTTCATATCCCAGAGATTGATGAGCCTTCTTTGCCCTCACCTCATCCTTATGAGGAGCAAGTGGATCAAGATGAGCACAGCAGATGGTCATCCAGAGAGTGATTTAGACTTGGATGGGGAAGAAAAGTCTCAGGTATGTGATATGGCTTGATGTTGACTTTACCTCACTATTCATTCTTCTAGGATTCTATTGAAGTGTCTCAGAGCTCAAAACGCAAATGTGCAGCTTCTGGATCACCCACTCCTGCATCTGCAGCTTCATCACTCAGTTGTCCTGACCCTAGTATTTTCCAGCTTATTGGTGATGTCCCCAGCACACCTAAGAGGAGAATTGCTGCAATCAAGGCTGTTTGTGTTGATAATGCATTGGCCACTGCTGAGCGCACACAAGCAATTGCACTATTCACCAAGAATATTGCCATTGCTGATGCATATTCTGCTATCTCTGATGATGTCCTTTGATCCAACTACATCCATCTTGAGATTGATAGCATATAGTTAAAATAGCTTTACTATTACTAGTTTCCAGTTTGAGTATATGTGATATACTGTTCCCACATTGCCTTTGCAATTATATCATATTTAAGTATTGCCCTCTCCTTTTCCTGAGGTGTGATGACATGGCTATGATCCCTTTGATCCTGCCGCATAGCTTGACTATTCTGTCCACCACCTATGCTGTCCCTTTTTTCATTGTTACTGTTATCAGGATCATGAACTCATATGAAATTGTGAAGAATGCAAAGTGCAGTTGAGATATGCTTGGAGTGACAAAAACCTGCATGATTTTTGAGCTCTTGAAGGAGCCTGCGGAAAACTGGCTTGGAAAGCCCCATCATATTATGGAATCAATGAGGATGTCCACATAATAGCTCCCTAACCCAAGCATGACCAGTTAAAATTGAATTATGCTGAGGTGATTTAATAAGAGATGATACTGAAGCCAGTGATACAGCAGCAGCAGCTGTGGCCGAAGCCAGGGAAGCAGCCTTCCTTCGTTGAGCATGAGGCGACTTAAGGAGAGCCGAGGCAGCTGCTTTCTTTCGAGAGGAGGATGTGGTCATGATGGAGGCTCAGGGGGCAGAAAAACCACTATCTACTGATAATCTACAATCACTGGGTGCATAGCCAAATATATACATGAGAAAAATCTGGAAAAAAAAGCTTGAAAACAAAAATACGTTTTTCAAGATATCTCTCCCATAACTATTTTTCTTTTCAAATGGATGGCTCTTTGCATCATCCAAATGGTG